GGAGGGGAGGGGGATACAGGGAGCCAGTGGTTAGTTAGTGGTTTGAAACTAAGAGGAGAAAATGAATGTCTGGTACAGGGCTGGGCCCGAAAACGCTACCACAGCCAGCCAGCGATCCAGGAGAGGAGAAGAGTGGAAAACACAAGAGTTATGTTGAAAAGGAGAACCAGGAAGGCCTCCTCCAACACCACCCTCCCGACGCACAGGGCCCGCTGACTCCTGCCTGCGCAGGGGGAGAAAAAAAGGGGAGTGGTGTTTTTATAGTTGGGCTGAACCCACTGAACCCATCATGTTAAAACCGCGAGGAAAGTATGGAGACAGAAGGCCGAGGCCGGCAGCCTCACCGGGGGCTTCCACAGGACCTCCGGTTAGGCACCACCGGACGCACCACCAGGAGGAGGGTGATGGAGGAATAGGTCCATCCGTGCTTTTCCAGATATTCACCACCCTCCCCCTATAATTTTGTATCATCAGGTTATCTGCCATTTTGATATTTTCTGCGCTTCCATTCTTGCCATCTACCATGTTTTGTTCTTGTTCAATTTTTTTAGAGTTCCCTTTTTTCTTTTGGTTTTTCTCTCTGGCATTTCTGAACTTGTTATTTGTTACCTTCCGATTAACTTGATTCTTTAATTCCTTGAACTTTTCCTTTTCCTTCACTACCAGATTTTCTTCCATCCTTTGCTTTTATTTGACTTTCTGGAGACAGCTGGGCTTTTTTGGCTTTTTCTTCCCCCCCTCGATTTGCTAATTTAGGTCTCCAATTATCTTTCATTTTTCATTCACTTGTGTTTGTATTCCTTCTTTCTTTAATTCCTTCTTTCTAACATTCTTGATGTTATTTGTCTTTCTTGACAAATTCTTACTTTATCAAAATGTGCTCTCCTCCCACACATTTTCTTTCAACAAACGTTCACTCCAACACACACACACACACAGGAACACAGACAGATCCCATATGTACGAGCTGCATTCCCATCTCTTATATCAGACAGTGTGGGTGGAATGGGCTGCAAGACATATGCACGAGTGGCTGGAGAGAAGCTTTCTTGGCTCTGGGCTTTTTTCTGCAACCCATCCAAGAGCATCTGCCCAACCTTCAGAGAGCAGCATGATGCAACAAGGCTGCAACCTGCGAATTGGCGGTGTCACATCAAAAGGCTCCCGTCCCGAAAAATATTTTTTTAAAAGGGAGATGTTGCACTCTGTGAGGCTCTGTGTAACTCTTATGGTACAGGTAAGGTTTTGAAACATGCACAGCTTGATTAACTTCAGATAGATGTGCAGTCTTATCAGCAGGGTGAGGAGTCATGACTGGTGTCAGATGGGTGGAAAACTTCTGGACTCAATTAGATATATCTGTTTTGTCCCTAATGAGATTTTTTTTTTCCACAGAAGTTGCTTACAAGGGAGCATCTGTGTGGATGACAACGTCAATGGATGACACCAACGGCAGTGGGTAATTCAGTAGCCCCGGTGTAAAAAAAATTATACGCTCACACACTGAGGTCTAATTTTGCGCCACAAAACTAGCATTAAGATTATTGAGACTTGATAATGCAGAAGCAGAACACAAGGCATCTGGTTAGTGCACATTTCTCCAAAGTAACTGTCTACTAAGCTGGCACTAACAACACCACATTGTGAATTCACAGTAAGAACACTGAAGGCGGGGGGGGGGGTCATTTCAGGTAAAATACACTTTTAAGCAAGCTACCCTCACCATAACGCCTTTACTGGCATTAGAAAATATCCAGTTCCTTTCATCCTGATACGACTGAACGTCTTTGTAAACATCTTCCATAAAGGTTTCAAACATGAAAACAATTTAATAGTATAGTCCCTTTCTTAGGCAGGACGACTTAGCAATATCTCACAGCAAAATCACAGAAATATGTGTGTTTTCTGTGGCTCAAATCAAAATTCGGCACCTGTATTTTTCTCATAACGGCTAGCTGGATGTGTGAACCACCTCTGAGCACAAAGTCACAGGGTACCTCCCATTTTTCCCCACAAATAAAATGGCAACATATGGGAAGAAGTGGGAAAGAGGATGTAGGTACCTCAAGTACACCAAAACACCTAATATCAACTGACCTGAATTCATCATATCAAAATACTCTTATGACTTTAGTTTCAAGATTGATTTGACACACAGGCCTAATTTACAAGTCACAAACCCTACTTAAAGAATCAAGCGTGCATTTCCATCAAGTTGTTTTTTTTGGTGGGGTTTTTTGGTCTCTGCCAGGCATAATGGTGCTAATGTCTTTAAAGAGAACAGAACTAAGAAGGGTTCAGGGTTTGATGGTCTGCATGGATTCAACAAGATATTGTGTTCAAGTTTATTTGCTCCATGCTTCTAAGATCACATCTAAGATCAAATTTCAGTTTGTATGAGCTTCAAGGGTAAAATCAGAGGGCCCAAGATCAATCCAGGAGGAGCTCTCTCATCTCACAGAGGTGAATGGAAGTGGATGGGCCTTTTTTCATGACTTTCAACAACTTGAATGTTTTTGGCTAGAAACAAAAATAGAGAGAGTAAATCTTTTCACTCCACAGAAAACTAATTGTGTTCTCAGAAGAAAATCAAGGCAATCTTTGCTTTTTAAACACTCAAAAAATTCAATCTGAATGTTTCCGTATAGCCGTCATCATGAAGGGGCTAAAACAAGGTACCAATGGAGACACATTTAAAATAAATAAAACAAAAAAACAGCTGTCAAGCAACACCCGGCCGATGTTGTTCTGAAATCAGATGGTTTCACTCACAACAGCCTGTGGATTGTGACAGCTCCTCCTTCGCCCCAACCGTCCGCCTGAAGATGCCGTGGAGCCCTCGGGTGCTCGGTGAACCCAAAATCAAGCGAGTTTGTCCGGTGCCCCTGGTACCATCCTCGATTAAGTTATCGGTAGTCACTGGTTGACTGGTTTCGGAGCAAATTTTTTCTTTTTCAAGATTTGTGATTCTTCGCAGCGAGTGGTTCCGGAAGAGAAGGGGGGGAAAAGACACAGAAAATAAGCTTTTTTTAAAGTTTTTACATATGCGATTGTCAAAAGAAATCTTGTCCTGAGGATAGTTGTCTTTCAAGGTTGGAGCAAAAAAAACGCCCCAAAAAATAGCCACTCAGATGTGAGGTTGTTCGCTTATGTGCGTAAAGGCGCATCGCTCTGTTGCGACGCTGGTCAACTGAGCTGTCAGCGGCGGGGAGCAGGGAGGAGGCTGTCCGGGCGGAGGAGAAGGGGGACGGAGGCCCGGCCCCTCAGCCAGCTGCTCCCTCTTCGCGGAAGAGCCGTCGGCTGACCGGGGGTCGTGCCTGAGAAGTTAACCCCTCCGCCGGGAGCCGCGGGAGCGCGCACGCTGGAAGAAGTTTACGCATGCAGGACTGGGGAGATATTCTCTGCTGATCGTCGCCCTTTCTGTAGTTCAGTTGGTTTGTTTGTGGTTACATGTTGTACAAATGTAATCAGTAGTCTCCTGTACTTATTTTGAAGTTTTAATGTTTTCTTTTGGGATACAAATAAAGAAGATAAACGTGGTTTGCGTTTTGCTCTGTTTTGTTGTCATATGTTTTTTCGGTATTTTAGTAAATATATGGACTATTCATCCATCAACCTGCCAAAATCTTTGTCTCCTCTGTTCAAAGCTTGTATCTTACCATCAGATATGTCATACCTCAGGTCATGCCCATCTTCTACAGAAAATGTGTACAAGCTTCGACTGCATTTAGTAGGCTACAGTTGCACAAGAATTCAGATTCTGTCTGCCAACATCCATCCATGTTTGTTTTCATTTTCTATTATCATTTAAGTTTGTTCCAATATGAAAAATGTGTTTGTATCTTTGCAGACATCTTTTGTAAATTGAATGATAGAAACTCTTAATTCCAGCTTCAAATTCTGTAGACTCCAAGGCATCTGCACCTCTTTTTAAAATGTATAAACACATAATGTTGACAGGCCAATCCATTTTTTAGGTCCACGTGCAGACAAAAAGGACCCCTTCAGATGCAGCAAGTCTACATTTCAGATTCTGATATGTGGTTGTATCAATGTCCTTGGCATAACTGATTTACAATTCAGACACAGCTGCTTGTGTGCAGCTGTCTTAGGACCAAAGCTTCAGGTAAAGCTTTTGGACCAGTGGATCACCAGCCGACACATACAGGGGAAGAACACACAGATTATTTTAGTAAATTATCAAAAGGACTGCATAAAAAAAAATTCTGTAACATTTATGATTGCTTGGTATTTCTTCAGACTCCTACCCTTTCTGGTCTTTGTCACTGTGCACATTAACCCCATCCAGTGGTTTAAGTGGGAAACTACAAACTATGAACAAAAAAGAAAGGAAGAAAAGAAAAAAGTAGACATGAAATGGCTGGATGACACAAATGCAGGCCAAAGTTTTCAACGATCCTTTTCGGCAGGACAAATTCTTCTGTAAAATAAAGACTTACTTTTATCTTATCTGCAAAGGTCTCACTGCCAAAATGGACCAAAAGATGTTTTTCAAATGTATATTCTATTATGAATTTATGTCTATAATAGAATAGAATATTTATATTTTAAATGTTCCCTTTGTACCACTGAAAGAAGTCAAACCCATTATCAAACATATTTGGATGCACAGCATGTTTTGGAAGTGTTCCGCATACACAATAATTTGAATATTAAAAATGCATAGCCTACCTGAAGCATAAGCAACTGCTACTCTCTGTGCTGTGCTTAGATGGAATCAGGATATTGCATGTCAAAATGGGCCACCGATAAAACTTGTAATGATCTGATAGCAAATTTGAAAGCGGAAGGAAGACCATTTTCAGAACTGCACTTACACGCTATTTGTGTCGGGAAATTCGCCATAACCTTTCAGGAGTTTGTCTGGTGAGCTTTGTTGTATAGTCATCATATCTCATAGAATTGCAGCTTTTTTTTAAAACATGTAAACACATTTGCTGTCAACTTGTGCTTTCAGAGTCTGCAGAACGTCTGAGGCCATGCGGGCATCTACAGCTGACTGGGTGCTTATGGGTTTCATCCTTCACATCTCTGGTATGATTTAGTACCACTCCCTTTGTTGTAGGAGTTATATTAAAGTCTATTGATTGTAATTAGAGAACAGAAAGAAGGAAAGTAAATAGTAAGAAACAATTGTATGTGTGTGCTTGTTTGTGTCTGGTTAAATAGATATGAGAGTTAACCACGATATAAAGGTTCATGGAAAATCATTATTCCAATAATATGTATAATAATGGATGTGCATCTTTAAAAGGAACTCTGGGAAAGACAAGGAACATTTGTGCCTTAAGAGGTTCGTCAGTGAATCTGACCTGTGCCGCTGAACATTCTGCCAATGTGAGCTGGTACATCGTGCACAGAAATGGATCCACGTTTCCCCTGAAAGAGCTCTCTGTTGATGAAAAGTATCCAGGGACTAACATCACTCTCACAATCACAGATTTAAGAGAGAGTGATGAAAATGTGTATTGCTGCAAAGATATGAACAATACAGAACTCTGCGAGGAAAGCTCGACCGAGATTCACATCGCAGGTACAGCTGCGGGCTTTCCTCTCTTTCAGTTATTTCAAGAACATACGTGTAGGAGTTATCGTTGACTCGTTTATCACGTCAGATCTACAGGTGAAGGTGTTACCCTCCACAGAGGGTCAAACAGTGATACTGATGTGCAGCACCAGCTGCCCTCTGACTGAAAATCCTGGATACATCGTGTGGTTTAAGAACAGAGGGTTCTTTTATGAAGACTGGTCTCCTTGGTACCAAGAGTTTATCAGCGGTGAGGAAGCAGCCAGGTACTCTTGTGCCGTCAAAGGCTACGAGGATCTCCGATCTCCTGAGGTGTCAGTGGGTGAGTAGTTTTTTCTAAACCTCCATTTAAGCGTGTTGTATTTTGTGAAAAAATCTATACTCTTTTATCATATACTCTTTGCACAGATTCTGTCACTCCAAACTGCTTCAGCGTGACTTATGAGAAGGGGAAAATGTGTCCTGGTAACCTGAAGTCAGTGGATGCACCATGCTCAATCACATACCCCAGAGGTAAGGTTTTTATTCATAGTAAAAATTCACCCTTATAAACCCCTGCAGGACCTAATGAAAGCAACTATCCATTAATGCCTCCCTGCAGGAATTCATGTTCAATTCACCTCCAAGAGGTACGATCATGTGGGACTGACCTGTAACACCAGCTGTCCTGAGGCTGACCCTCACACGGCCTTTAGGTGGTACTGGGACAGAGCGTTAATGAGTTCATGTGAAAGTCAGAATGTTGCATCTTTCCAAAATTTTGCACAACGCTTCTCGTGCGCTGTCAAAGGCAACGAAGATCTGCACTCTGAAGAAATATGTGAGTATGATCCAGCTCATGACATATGGTGAAGGGATTTCAGTTTATTTATTTGTTTGTTTTTGTCCAGTCTTTTTTAGCCTTTAGCAAATTTGAAAAAAAAAATCAAAAGAAACATTTTTTACACATTCAACATTTATTACGGGAAATATCCAGATTGTGGTAGTGCAGGTATCAGGTATTGCACCTTGTGTGCACCCGGGGTTTTAGAGTTGTTTTACCATAAAGTTATTCTAAACCGTTTCAGAAACTGTATGTATCAAATTTGTATCAAAGAAAATTTCACTGTCAGTAATAGATGTGATTGTTTTTTTCAGGCAGACAAACTTCATGCACCTCTAAAGCGAATTACGTTAGGGACAGAGTGTGCGCCCTGGAAGGTTCTTCAGTTGACATTATCACTGCATCCCCATACGAGGAACATGTAATGTTCAATGCAGTATGGTTTAAAGCAAAGCTGAATTTTTACAAGGACTATACTGCAAAAGGGCCGTGGGACAGTAATTTTAAACTGTTCGTGTTCTCGAGCCTTGTGGAAAATTTTGACGATAAAGATTACCTTTACACGCTCAGAATCAATGACTTGAAGAGGAATGACTCAGGAAGATATCTGTTTTCATTCAAGAAACAGAGCATGATGCTGATTGTCACAGGTAATGTTTGGGCTATAATTTGTCATAATCTGTGCAAAAATCAAACAACATTCGATGGCAATTTCAGTGATTAAGAAAGGTTATAACCCTTTATCAGAGTTTCAATGATATCAAATAGTAGAGGCCAATGTTAAAAACCAGCTTGACATTTCACCCTCAACCCAAGTGAAATATTCTTAATATAAATGGGACGTTATGCGTTAGAGTAGATAAGTGATTTCACTTTGTTGTCTTAATTTTTCAGGTCTTAAAGTGATTATGAATCCCTCGGCGGAGGTCACAGAGGGTCAGAAGGTCACTCTGACCTGCAGCACCAGCTGTCCTCTGACGATGACCACAACCTACATGTGGTATTTTAATGGTGAGCCTCTAAATGGGCCTGTGAACCAAAAGAAACACCTGATTCTGGACCCCGTTGACCCTCAGCACGCAGGAAACTACTCCTGCGCCGTCAGAATTTCTAACCTTCTGAGCTCCACTGAGGAGACTCTCACTGTCAAAGGTGATCGTGTGAAATGTACTTTTGAACACCCAACAGGTTTTGCTTGGCCCTAGAGACTACTTCCTCCCAAGACACTGTTCTTAAAGCTAGTTTTAAAAAATGTAGAGTGGCAGCAGAAAGCAGAAATCAGACACAAAAAAAATGTGTGAACCTTCTTCTTCATGTGTTGATATTAATCTCTCCACAGCACGTGAAAAGTATGTGAGAATATTGAATGGAGTAAAAATTGCTCTTTTGTTGCTGATGCCTGCTTTTTTATTTAAACTCTACTTAATGAGGTAAAAAAAAAAACATCTTATATTTTCCAAGATTTTCCATGGTGAATGTTTATTATTTGTAACTATTATCTTCTCATACATACCAATACAGAAACAAACAAGATGCCTCTGCCAGGTTGAGTGTGAAGGACCAAACTGAATAGGTGAGTGACACGAAATGAAAGTTTCCCAGTGTTTCCCCAAGCATGTCTACTCTGCTATGTTCTGGTGGGACGACAGAATCATGCTGATGGTTACCAATCCCCAAACTCATAGAGAACAGCGAAATGAAGACCTGTTGGAAACTGGATTTGGATGTAAGGCTGATATAAGACGACTGGGCAGACAGCCTGAAAGGCTAAACATGGACACCTCATATGAATTTGTTAAATAAAGTGCATTTTTACTGCACTTTGAAAATAAAAGAAGTGTGCAATGCTCTTATCGGTGGTTGAGCAGCACATCCGCTCTGGAACCTTCCTGCTAGTCTGTATGGCATGTTTGAAAGCTTCTGATGATCTCTTGTGATTTGTGACTCTTGGGGTAAAAACAGCTACATTCTCATCTTAGATAATGAACGGAGCATGCTGCTTGCCTTGACAATTTTGGTTTTGAGGTCAATTATTTTTTCATTTTTAGCTGCATATCTGTATCATTATAGCTTGGTGTACTCATTAGTAAAGAGTTGTTGTTTTTTCTAATGGTAACATATCATTTGATAAATGTTAGCCATCTTTTCAGCCTATTCACACTCTCTATTCATCAATTAAAACTCATTAATCCAATAGATGCAAACAAACACATGTTATCACATGCCATTTAAGATGACATTTAATAATGATATGTATTGCAAAGTATATTAAAATCACCAAATATACAACAGTGAATTTTCTTTTTTTTTATTTTTTCTTTTGAACTTCATGAGGATATTTTCAATGAGGGGTCAGTTTGAGTTCAATCTTCATAAACCCCTAATCTGCTGGGCCATAAAAGAATTATTTTGAAAATAATGGAATTTATATTGGGGATAGTGCACTGGAATAAGAATTACCGACTTTCTATCAATACCAAGGCAAGTATAGGTGAGACGATGAATCTAAAAAAAGTTTAAACATGGTGCCCATTCTACTGTGTTCATTTTAGTTGGAGAACCTTGATGAATTAAGTAAGGAAAACCCCCTATTTATGTTTATTGGTCAACCAATACAGTTCCTTTACAAGAGGATTCCTGTGATCCATCTGAAGTTCCACTTAATTTTTAAAGAGTTTACTTTAAAAAACAAATACAACACTGATCTCTCTTAACTTTGAGTTACCCTTAACTTGCCATGCTCTCTCATTACACAAGATTTAGTCACACGGGTCTCAAAGAGACAGAGCCTGACAAAGTGGAGTGAGGCCATCATGTGTTTAGATTTAAATATAGAACAGTAAATGTCATAAACTCTGTATATATTATATTATTCTACATTTAGTAGTCATTTTTTACAATAGGTGTAGAAGGTGTTTTTGTTTTACAGAGATTTAAATATATGATATGAGATTATATGATATATGATATGATATGATAATATTGTTGACCAACCAGGGTGTACCCTGTCTCTCGCCCATTGACTACTGGGATATGCTCCAGTTCCCTCCGCGACCCCATTTGGGAATAAGGGGTTCAGAAAATGGATAGATGGATGGATAGATGGATGGATGGATGGATATTATTTTGGGGCGGATTATGGAACGGGGCCTAGTTGGTCACGTGCTTCGTAGTGCGTCAGACTGGCACGTCCTGCACAACGCCCGGTCAGTTTGTCGTAGCCTTGCAGGACAGGTATCGTTGTATACAGCTGGTCGCTTTTGTGAATTTTATCGTCTGGCCTTTGCACAACGATATAATGGAAGGCAGAAGCTACAGTTCTGGTGAGTATACGCTTTTTAAACCTCCTTTTCGTGGTTATTCGGCGGGGAATATACCCGCACTGTTAGCTATTAGCTAGGCTAATATTCCGTTTTAGCTAACCAGCTACAAAAGCCGTCTAATCGAGTAGCATGAAATAAGAGGTTACCAAATGTATACTTTGTTGCAAAATTAGGCAGGAGTCTGGGATATATGTAATTGAGACCCAATAGATACAATCGTTAACAGCATTCTTGGCCCATTGATATAGAGCAATTAGCAAGGCCATTACTTCACCATCGTGGTGTTGCTAACGCTGGCGGGTTTCGTTCACTCTTTGTTGGCTTGTGAAGAACTTCCGAATGCTCTGCTTAAGTAGAATGGCTTTTCTTTTTTCTTTTTTACTAAGGCAGCGTTAAAATACCAAACGTCTAAAAATTGGTCGTAAAAGGGCCTCCTGCCCCGTAAACATTTTTATGATTAGAATTAGATTTCAGTGCTGAGGCTGCACCAACCTGGGCTAAACTGCACACCAACCAGCCTTTTGTTATGGAAACATCATTGTGTCCACTGTGGGATTACTAGTGAAGATTTATTTACCTGATTATTGTTTATGCATTACTGCTTATTAAACTTTATGCGACGAAATACCGTGGATGTTTTTATGGAATATTGTTGGCTGCTGGGTTGTATTTCCCTCATAACAGTCGCATCTCTCCCACTGACCATGCAGGCTACTCCAGTTGGGGGAGTGGAGGCTCAGGGAATAGAGGTGAGTTCAGGTGTTAAAACATCAGTATTGCCTTCATTATTGATGCAGAACATGTACTGACAAAATCTTAAACCAAAAACATTCCGCAGTCAATTTAATCTCTATGTATTTCCATATGTGTGTGTATTTTATATTTTTTGTTTTTGTGATTATTTTGTTTTATCCATACGCGGTCATGCTTGTCCAAATTTCTCATCAGTTGTATACATTTGGGATTGTTCTGTTCTGAATTTGTGAGGGATTGATTACTCTTTTCATTTATATATTATTTAAATTGACATCTAAAAGGTTGCCAGACAAGTTGGAATATTTGCTCTTTATTCTTATCCAGGACACTTTAATTAAAAATTCATATAATGTAGTTTGACAGACATCATCTATGATTACATAAGCATCTTTGATAGTGGACTATAATTATTGCTTTCATTAACAATTAAATAATATACCAAAGCGTTATAAAAATGTTTGTTTAGCAGTCAGTGGCTTTTTTCTTAATCAAAGACTCGTTCTACTCCCTTTACGTTGCTCATACATAAGATGGCTAGAAGAGTCCCAACAGGAGGAGGTATTGCTTTAAAATTTCCATGTGGTCTGTCAGTTTATTGACATAAATGATTGACAGGACAAGTTAGCCTAAAAGAAGCAAAATGCCAGGCAGCAGAATAACTGATTTAAGTTTTTAGACTACAACTTTGTGTGTGACACTTGCAGGGCAAAAAGTAAACGAATGAGACTGATGTTTGCTAACTGATGTTCTTTACTTTTCAAGGTTCTGGTGGTTATGATATGTACGGGGGGGGCTTCAAGGACTCGATGTCTGGACTTGGAGGCTATGGAGGAGCAATTGGTGGGCAAATGAACCGAGGGCTCTCAGGAGATTCACTGCTCACTTCATCTACCGGCACACATGCAGATGCAGTCATTGCTAAGATTAACCAGCGACTGGACATGCTCACTCAGATGGAAGGGGGGTTTAAGGGGCCACGGGATGACAGGTAATATTTCCTTTTTTGAGCTCCATATACACCTCTTGCATACTACCCTGGCACATCTGTCGATTGAAACATTCCTACCCTGTGCGAAACTTCATGTTTTAAGATGTTAAAATATCCCATTTAGTTTAAAATGTGCAGGATGAGTTTCTAAAAATGTTGTCATGTGGTTGAAACATTTTCAACCAGTTCTTTAGATTAAGCTGTAAATTGTTTTATATTAATTTGGGACACATCTTTGTGGATGATGGAGCTCCAGTGCCTGTTTTAAAAGTCACACAGCCCTTTTCTTCTATTTGTATTCAACATTGACTCTAGAACAATTGCACTACAGGGTCAATATAAAAAACAAAGGCCGTACCAATGTGGACCGGGACCCAAGGAGTTGGTGTCGGTGGTTGAAGTTTTAGCGTGCACCCAGCCTGTGGGAAAGTGTGCCTGTCTGAAATTGAGTGCCTTAATACTGAAAAACCGGTTCACTCTCATTCGTTGTTGTTCCCCAGAAGAAATAGATCTAGACACGGTAGTCTGCTGTGGTGCAATTTTGTAACCAAAATCATTAACAGAAAGCCCAATCCTGGCTCGTAAAGTGAGCTCATGTTTTCTGTAGCTCTCCTCAAACACAGATTTTGTGTTGACGTGATTGTGTTTACACCTTTTGTATCTCTTATCCTTCCTGTTACCTAATGTGTGTTCTGGCTTTAGGTTATGCAAGAGCGATGAGTTTTCCAGGTGCTGGCCTGGTATGCTCTATAAGGCTGAAAGTTCTTGAAGGGTGTTTGATTTTATCTCCAAAAGTCATACTTGATGCTTGACAAAATGCCTAGCTTCCCCTTTTTGAAGTGTGTTCTGCATGATTGAGTCACGCCCCAGGATATTTTCCCTCTTGCACATTTCCCCGGGCATCAGTGCTTTGCCGGGCTATGTGCATGTCTGCTCAGCCTCTTGTCAATAAGAAATGAAAATCAAACCATTTGCATTTCATTTCCCGGAAAACGTCTGTAAAGAATTGACAAAAAAGGATGTTTAAAAAAACACCAAAGATGTGTTGGGTTGATTTGGATCAACATGCAGTTAATTTGGTGAATGAATCTGGGAGTGACGTGGAAATTTGAGAAAGCGAGACCGTGGAGGAGATGGAATAGCAGGTGGAGAAATCCAGGCCTGGCTGCCCTCCCTTGCTCTCTGCTCTTCTCTATCAACCCTCTCCCTCCCTCCTGCAGGTTTGACCAGTACGAGTCATTCGACTCGCACTCCTCCGGTCTCTCCTCCTCCCGAGATCTCTACAGATCTGGCAGCAGTAGCTATGGTTTTGGGGATGGCCATGGGGACAGCATGCTGATGAGTCAGCGAGGAGGTTCGAGCTACGGAGGGGGAATGGGGCTGGGGGACGGAGGAGGCTTTGACAGCCCCTCCTCTTCCTATGGAGTCGCAAAAATGCGACCGAGTATGAGGGAACCCTTCGCCAGTGCCCCGGGAGGAGGTTCTGGAGGCGGAGGATGGGCTGGAGCTGGCCGACGTTCCCCCAGAAGGGGTGGAAGTGCTGGGGGTCGAGGAGCTGGAGGAGGGTTTGGAAGCCACAGGTCTGACCCCACTCCAATGGGTGGAGGTTTGCGGGGAAGTGGTAGCGGAGGCATGTCCCACCGTGGCCACTCTCCAGGAGGTGGTAGAGGCAAGCTCCCTTCCCTCCTGTCCAACCGCATGTACCCTGAGAGCGGAGGTTTCCAGGGTTCTGCTCCAGGGCCTTACGACTTTCCTGGGAGGCATTTTGGAGGGGGCCCACGGGCTGGCCGCCAGCGAGGCCGCAAGAGACCCCTCAACAAAGTAAGTACCTCCAGGCAAATAAAACCTCAGACCATGGGTAAAAGTTATACCCTTTCTGATTGCCTCCTTTTTCTGCCCGACACCAACTGGCATGTCAGCTTACAGTGCTAGTATGAGCCATTTGCCATACAAGGCAATTTGCCACATGAAAACCAAAAAGGAGAAGAATTCCCCAACACCCATTTGACATATGCGCTAACAGCGTCCAGCCACCGATTTCATGTTGGCTGAAATGTCCCCTTGAAAAGCTCTGCCTCTGATGCAGGAATAAGAGTCTGTTTTTTTGTTTTTACCAGTGATTTGTGTCTTTTCTTTCGTAGTTGTAAGTTGTAAGAAGAGTTTTACACCACTAACGCCATAGTCTTTGCATGACAAACTTCGAATCAGGTGTGAGTGGTGACATTTCCTGGTTAGAGCACTGGTAGCTGTACATTCTGTGTCATCCAGCTATGGTTAGGCTGTCAGAGTTGAAGAAAAAGCATACTCCGCGAAGGAGCACGGCATGCCTTATGTCAGCACTTAGGAATCGTCAGAGGTCTAAGACAGAATGCTGCCGCTCGTTCTGGTAAGGAACGAGTGACTCAGGTGTCCAGAGGACGCGGCAGAGACAAAGGCCATAAGCAAATCAGAAGCTCTGCTGCTATCAGTCCGGCGTTTGTGAGTGCAATTTGATTTCTTTTTTATTTTCTGCAGCCGATGAGGCCAGAAAGGGAGTTTCAGAAGAGAAAGCAGAGTCTGTCGGAAGCTGATGAGCCCGAGTCTAAGATCCACAGGACAGAGTGTGAAGAGTCTGATGCTTTCCAAGGTACTTAGTAACATGAGGAATAGATGAAATTACTTTGTAGACCACATTCGGGACCAGTTGGATCTGATTTTTTTTTTGTGCTCTGATATAGCAGAAGATCCAGAGAAAAATGGTGCCGACATTAAACAAGAGGACGTTTCTGTGGTGAGTAGGTGAAGTACTGATCATTTAAAACTACTGTTTTTACGGTTGATCACTTGCTCCAGTAAAAGCACGGCATTTACTAGAGCAGTATGTCTCTTTAAGTTAAAAATAGTAACATCATTTTTTAAAATCTATTTCAGGATGTAACGCCTGCTGAAGATGGAGATAACAGTAAGTTTCCTTTCAGCACACTTGCACGGCATAAATGTGTTTCATATCTCAAACTTTTGCTCTTGCGCCGTTTCTCAGCTACACCCAAACAGGATGAGAAGAAAAAGCCTCTGGGCAGACAGATCCCTGGCCAAGGTCAAGAGAAGCACCCAAAAATGCGGAAGAGAAGGGGCTTCCTGGAAAGGTGAGAGAACCGTCACCTAAAGATGTCCTCCTTTTTGTTTGTTTGCTGTTGCCTCCCTCTCTGTTATTTCCATCTCTTTCAGCATCACTGTGTAAGATTCCTTAAACCTTTTGTTTCTAATAGAAAATATGATTTAAACCACAAAACAGGATTCTCGTTTAATCTTGGCACATCCTGTAAAAAGTTCAAATGTGATTAGTTTCTGTTTCATGACTCTCTTTTCCCTCCCTCAGGGTGATGTTTGCCTGCTCTGTGTGCAAGTTTCGTTCATTCTACAAGGAGGAAATGGAAACTCATCTTGAAAGTCGCTTCCACAAGGACCACTTTAAGTTCCTCTCCAGCCAGTTGTCCAAACCCACCACAGATTTCTTACAGGTCTCTGAACATTGCCATGACATTCACACACTTGTGCACCTACAAAGAGTGATCGTCATTCTATCCAGGAACAGAACATTTTCACGAGCTGCCACTCCTGGACTGTTGTAACTTTTGACTACATGATTTTCCTCTTCATTTTTAGGAAATTTTACAAAATTTAGAGCTCTGATAATCAAGGGGGCCTCTTCCTGGGAACTTTCTCTGTTTTTAGCTGAAATAATACAGTTTATGAGCATGTGTATTCCAAGTGAAAGTCTGGTTTTTGCTCTTTTCCTACGAGTTTCAACATTAGACAATATTTTCAGACAGTTTAGATGGATTAGTGTCATATTTCACCACCTTCAGGATTTATGAGCCAAAGCTGACTTTTAGTACGGGGTCCACAGTCCTCTGTCATGGTTTTGTGTTTTTTGTGCACAATTTTACATACTGAAAGGTTTGGACACTCCCTGACGGATATGGAACATAACTATCATAATCTTTTTTTTTTTTTTTTGTAGGAGTATTTGAAAAATAAGTTCAAGAAGACAGACGAGAGGGTCAGTCAGTTGGAAAACCACAGCGCGGCCATCTGTCAGATGTACAGGGAGCAGGATCTCACCAGAGGTAAATATCAGCAGCACTGTGAGCATGTCTGCACCCACATTTCGGGTTTACATGTTTCCCCTCTGTTCCGTAGAACTGGGTATGGAGCATTTCATGAGGAAGGTGGAAGCAGCTCACTGCGCAGCGTGTGACCTTTTCATTCCCATGCAGCCCCACTTGATTCAGAAACACATCAAGTCTCCTGACCACAACTACAACCGAAAGGTACAGCAGGACGTCCCAGCCATGTTTTATATTTACTTTGACAAGACAGTGAAAGCATCCCAGCTTTGAGCTGTTTGAGCCAAAGTCAATTCTTCATTGACCTGTTAAGAGGAAAAGCACGCAAACATTTTTTTTGTCTTCAAAGGGGATGATGGAGCAGTCCAAGCGGGGAAGTCTGTCTGTCGCCCGTAGCATCCTCAATCACAAACTCATCGGGAAGAAGCTGGAAAGCTACCTCAAGGTAACGGCACCGGGGTCGTCGCTCGGGTTGTATCTGAATGCTTTTAGTTCTTTTCTTTTTTCTGTCACAAATCTGTTTTTCTCGTCCGTTTTTTTTTTTAAACCAGAATTCAACTATTCATCAATTATAAATCGTTGTTTGGTAACGAGGAAACATCACAATTTAAAAAATGTCTAGTAGTACATCTGTCATGCTGTTTCTGAATATAAATGGATTCTTAGCTTTTGGTTAGTGCTGAAATGCTGCTGGACTTGGCTAAATGTTTGAACATGGGTTCCTCCTTGTGTTAACACCTGAGCTCTCCACTTAAATGAATCGGAGCGAGAACCGACTAAAGCCACGGAACTGCTTGGACTTTCTCTTGTACTGAGACAGAGAGCAACTCCTGGATCCTGGGTTTACCGTAAGACTTTGAGTTTGAACTCATCAATGCATATGTGATTCTTTTTTTCAGGGTGAAAACCCATTTGTCGGTAACCAGGATGAACAGGAACCACAGGACTCTTTGGCAATGGATGCGTCTGAGTTGGAGTTGCCCGGTGAGAAGGCGGACAGCCAGACAGAAGTGGCCCCCGCCAACGATGAGGCGGCTCCCGATGCAGAGGCGGGCAAAGAGGCCACCGAGGAGGAAACGACAGCAACGCCAGTAGAAGCAGCACCAGAGCTGGAGCTGAAGACGGAGGAAGAGCTGCACCAACAGGAGAATCAAGAAGAGGAAGGTTTTGAAGTGGGAGAGGACGAAGAGGACGAGGGATACGTAGTGCACGAGGAGTTTGGTGATGAGGGATTACAGGCCGGTGAGGCAGAGGAAGCAGGAGCTGACAACGTGGCGGAAGGCGAGCAGAACGAATGACTTTTTTACTGCGTGTAACATCTTGACCTGAATATTTCTCTGGATCAGTTGGTGACCCTCTTGTCCGTTGAATCCAATGTGATTGTTAATAGTATTAAGAAGTATACTTCTATTGTTTTTCACAGTCCCAGTCCAAGCTCATGTCTTTTGATGCTCTTTGCTAAAGGAATAGTTTCATTTTTTTGGATACCGTCATTCACTTGATTAAAATAAAAAGAATTTTAAAGTTACGTGAAGTAACTCTTGTCTTGCATGATTGCTTTGCCTGTCACCTTAAAAGATGTTTGTTGACTTCATTTTGAGTTTGGAACATAGCTGGGCGAGAGGTCGAGCCTCATCCAGTTCTCATTTCTGAGGATTACCAACCTGACACATCTCCATTTTTATGGAGAGAAGGGTCGGATTAATCTTTTCACCTAAAACTTGGGAAGACGGCAGCACTATGTATTGATGAAAATGTCAAAATTATTATTTTTTGTGCCTTTTGTGAAATGTTTAAGTTCTTTAGAGTTGTTTAAGAAATCAAGTATTGTGATGTTCAGACAAGCTGGGTTCACTCAACGGCATACAATTAGTTTACTGAGTGTACTAATGAATGGTTTTCCAAACCAAGTCGGCTTTTTAACCCTTGTGTGCCCTCCTAGGGTCATTTATTCCCCTTTTTGATTGAATCTGGAATATGAATTACCCTAAGAGGGTGCACAACTAGAAGTTAAGGTGACTGAAATAGCGGAATATTCTGATCACTGTTAGAATACACATCAGTCATGTAACAGTTTGGTTTAACTGAGAAATAAAGCTGTTAAATAAGTCACTTGTTTTTGTCATTTTGCAGATAGTCATAGTACAAGTTTTAAAACGGTCTAAACAGGGCGGGCTTTTTTATTCGTTACGTTTTCCCTGTGTCTACAATAATTTGTTTAAACAAACTGGCAGTGTCAGAACAACAGACTCACACAGACGTTGTGGGTTCAATACCCCGCCGTACCAGCAGGTGGCGAACTTACTCCCTCCAACCAAAGCATTGGGATATTTTCTCCACGCTTCTTGAAACGCACATACTTTTAAACTGATAAGTACTTTAGTCTTAAGTTGCTGATTTTGGAAATTGTTAAACTAAACGTTTTTTTTAATTAGTTTTTCTCGATGCATCACATTCCTACTTTAAACTGCCAGGAGTGCAATATGTCATGGCGAATGCATTCATTAAAATTATTCTGCCGATGTATTTTTCTTGCGCTCTTTTAAAGCTGCGTGACCCATTCAGGTACATGCTTTCAACACTGCTGCGTTTCTAACTTTATAGAGATGAAAGTCCATAGATCGTACACTTTTACTCAGCGTTTTCACATTTTGATTTCTATTTACTAAATCTAAGTGTGTGGTATGCACCTGATATCTGGCTGAAATTATTACAAGGGATTGCATTATGTTCCCGGGAGGGGAGGTGGGGGGAGCCAGATCTGACATTTCGCCTGACACACGTTCGGCCAACCCCCAATACGTCTGACGTCATTGACGTAGAACGGGACTGTTTGTTCTGGATTTGGGGCGAGGAAGGTCTACGAGCGCTGACAACCGATTGAAGAAGGTAAAAATAATATTTAAGAACTGTGTGTATATGACATTACTATATCAAACGAAAGTATTCAACCTCGGGAATACGTGAAGTGGTTTACAACGGCCATCGGTGCCGTATTTCCCGCGCTGTCAGTGAGCGCTTCGGCAAACGGAGCATGAGCTGTCTTCGCAGGCCTTGCACCGGTACGGGCACAAGGGATATATGTTTTTTTAGATCACAATTGTGCGCTATTACTCGTCTCTGTGCATATTCTGTGTTATATCTGCCTACTCTTAATACTTCTGTTAAAGTCATTTTTGTGGCAGTGGACACTCGGTGCTGTCAGTCTGCAAGTTAGCTGCAGGTCGGTATCATGCTAGCTTGTTAGCTGCTAGGCTGTTTGTTTGTAGCCCCGTAGGCCGTATTCGTGACATAAGTTACGTCCTCTCAACAGCGTAGATTACGCGTGGTGGCGCAGAAACTCATGTGGAAGCGCAACGTACGTCATTTCGAGAATATCAATCCGGTCGAAGTTGCATTCTGAAACGACGTTTACGTGCCGGAGCTGTCACTTCATCACCGTGAACATGGCGACGTACTGACATGGAAGGTTAGCAGGGAAACGCAGTGGAGCAAGCTGTGCTTGTACCAAACTGCCCGCGTCAGTGGGTTTCGTGAAATGGTCGCTAAATGAGACATTTTGTAGTAGCATTTATCCGTCACATTAGAAGATAGCTGCGACATTACTTTGATAGTGTCAGTACACATTTGCTGCAGCGCCTAAATTGAAATAAAAAAACAATTGAATGTGATTTAAATGATTGTAAACGACTAATACGATATGACAATTACATCCTATCGAGAAATAGAAAGTATTCCTCGTGGCTAAACACACACACATAGATGGAACTTGGCGGGGGGGTTACATGTGTTTAACGTGTTCCGTGCTTTAAACCATACCAAACTACTTTATTAAGCTTTATATCTGGATCATGGTTGTGATCATGAAATGTCAGCCTGAGATGCCTGTCCCCCTTAAGTAATCACTGTGCAAAGGTCTTGAAAGACCTCCTTTTTTAATTACAGGAATTGAGTGCAACAAGTAAATCTAATGCTAAAAAAAAGAAAAATTAAGATGCTGTCCATATCTAGAAAAATGGCGTTTGCCTTATTTGTATGAGCTTGAAGGTCAATATTTAGTCTGAACCCTCTTTAACAAGCTTTCTTGTTAATTAAGTGGCCTACAGCAATATTTCCGCAGGTTTCTAGAAGGACATCCCAAATATCTTCTTTGGATGTTGGCTGCCCTTTATTCCGTCCTCTGTACGATAACTCCAAAAGGTTTTAATAATGTTGGGATCCCTGGCTCTGGGGAAGTATCTTCCCTCCATCAGACCTGTTGCTGCTGATTCTCAGACCACGTTTTCAGTTTTTTGGCACATGGCAGATTTTTTTCTGCGTCTCTCTTCCTTTACAACTCCATGTGATTGCCACAGAGATCGTTTATGATCAGTATCCATGTGAACAGTATTCACCACTCTTCATCTTCTGTAGCTTTTTTCAGACTTATTTTTGTTTTCCACTGGTTTCCTAAAATACTTTAAGGCCAACCTGCACACAGTGCTGAGTTCTGCCATGTTTCTGGCAATCAGAAATTTATAATAACTTTGTCTATGTAAAGATACTTTTTGATATCTGTCAAACTGTTATCGTTCGCCTCTTAGGTCTTAGAAGTTCAGCTCTTGTTACAAGTCTCTAGTAACTAACTGTTTTAATTTTGTTAGTAGTTTAGGGATTGTTTTTATACATTATTGATCAGTATCGAAGCGTTGGTACAAGGACTGGTGTCGGACAGGAATAAAATGCGTATTTAAAAAATAATCAAAGCAGGCGTGGACTAACCAGTTAATTGGAAATGCCAATTATATGTATTTATCTTTCTCAGTCATTGCACTTTTCCCAATAGAAATCTATTGTAGCATTACATTTGTTCTGGATGAGCATTAACACAAGCTCTTATATGCCCAAAATATGGGTTTGTCACAAATATTTATGGCTGTATAACCAGATGTTTGTCTCCCAAAATCATCTGTGTTCAGCATCCCGCAGTCACGTGTGTATTTCTCTCTCACACAGGTGTGACCCTCTGCTCTGAGTGAGTGTGTTGTGGTTTCCTTGCCCCCACAGCGTGTCACTTGCAAGCTTCCCGTGTTAACTCAGGAAACTGCTGCTTCACCAACTGAGATATGATCACACTAGCAGATTAGACCACAGCTGTAAAGCATCAAACATGTAAGTCCCTGAGAAATGTTTGGTCTTTGTGAAAGTGGTCTTTAGTCACATGGAAACGTGTTATAAAGACATTTAACACAGGTGAAGGAGGACACTCTCAATTGTGGTGGATAAATGCAGCCACGTTCAAAGTTAACTATCGCGAGCCAGTGACTGTTTGGGTGTTTCCTGCCGTTTTGAGCTGCTTTCTAATGGATGTAGTAATGGAGCGTCACGGTGACGAGGGAAGCAAAGAAATGAAGCGAGTAAATGTGGTTGTTGGTGCCGCAGACGCCGAGCTGAAGCTGGTTAAAAGCCGCTTCTTCTGCAGAGGAATTTGATGATGGGCTGAATGCAGACTAAATCCTTTACAATGCGCTCAACGGCAAGATGTTTGAGTGGTGTAAGAAGGACTTAATCGTTGCTAGCTATGAGCATTTTGTTACAGCCTTAGTTTCCATTGAATAACACGTGTTTGCTTGGCCATTTGTCAGTTTGTCGCAAAAAGACTGTTGAAAAGTTCCATTACGGGTAATTTAAAACTAACAGTGGAGTAAATGCTAGGTGCTTTCGTTTAGTGGCTCCAGATTTGATGATATTTGATCTTAAATGTTATACTCCATCAGCCTCACATCAAACTAGATCTCCCACACGCTGACTCACATTTATTAGAGCGGTTTGAGTGCCAGAGGTTAGATGTGGTGCAATTTTCCTAAGGGCCAAGGGTCAACTTCTCCCTCCTGTTGCCCTCCTGTCGCTCATAGGACTGAAAGCAAATGCGGGGTCATGAAAGGGAGAGATAATTCAAACAGAGCCTTTACAAAGTCACCGACTCCCTGATAACGGTTTGTTTTCTGGGAAAATTGAGTCGGTGTTGATTGCTCTGCTGTCCACAGCTCATGCTAAGGGCAGTGGAGGTGACGCCTTTACCGACCTTCCTTTGCAGAGCGTCGCGTGAGGAGTGTAATGGCCTGAGGGGGGCCCCCCCGCTCCTACCTGCCCCTGCCAGGTCCATTCTGCCCAAACTGTCTGCTAAGGCACTGCAACCCACCTCTGCGATGGGAGACGGAGTGGAGGCGGGCAGCAGCCAGAACCCTCCCGCTGCCCCACCGCCTCTCCCCTTCAACCCCCCTCCCCCCGAAACCTGGAACCCCTCAAGACCCAAGCGACAGACCAACCAGCTACAGGTGGCTTTATCTTGCTTTGTGTTGGTCACATGTCGACTCTGTCCACTCGTCGTGTCTTTCATTTAACGCGCCTTTTTGTGTCATTTGTACTTTTTTTGCAGTACCTGCTTAAAGTGGTGTTGAAGACATTATGGAAACACCAGTTTGCATGGCCCTTCCAAGCACCTGTGGATGCAGTCAAACTCAATTTGCCTGTGAGTCACATCATGCACTCGGGGTTCCTGTAATCACACATTATAGGTCAAAGTGCACATCGTTATTGATGCAACCACTAATTGAATTGTGAACGCCAAGAATCGCACAGTGGAGCAGGTGCATGTGCAGCCAACACACTGCTGGGACATTAGGGTCCACGTGCACCGCCTTCACACATTCTTAATTAACCTGTGTCTCATGTGCTTTTCCTCCTGTTTTCTCAAAGGACTACTATAAGATCATAAAGATTCCTATGGACATGGGCACGATAAGAAAACGCCTGGAGAACAACTACTACTGGAACGCCCAGGAGTGCATCCAGGACTTCAACACCATGTTCACAAACTGCTACATCTACAACAAGGTCAGCCAGCTCAGAAATTCAGTCGCCACTCGGCCACCATGATCATTAGCCGCTACGTTTGACAAAATTATAGTGTCTTCTGTGGGTATATTTCCCTTCCTCTGGTTTCAGCTATCATCTCTTTTGATCATTTTGTCATTGATACGGGACACCTATCACATGATATTGTTTAGGGAAGAGGTCATACCGATTTCTTGACCATTTAGTTTAAAGGCATCAAATAGAAAAGGTTTCTGGACAGTGATCTTAACGCAAACGTGCCCGTTTCCCTGTGTTTAGCCCGGGGATGATATTGTCCTGATGGCTGAGGCCTTGGAAAAGCTTTTTCTACAGAAGATTACAGAGATGCCGCAGGAAGAAACGGAGATCGCTGTGGTTACCAAGGGCCGCCGTGGCAGGCGAGAGTCAGGTAGGACTTGTTAAAAGGAGGTGTTTGTTTTTTGTTTTTTAAGGAGATGCGCTTGGAGTTCTCCGCAAAAGTCAGGATCCCCCCACAATCCTTGTGTTTACAAAGGGTGTTCTGTCTGTGTGAAAAATAAACTATTAGTATGTCACATTGAAAGCGTTAAAGGGCACTAATTAACTAGGTGAGCATTCATTAATATTATTATTATTTATTTATTCACAATAAAACGTACAGGTTTGTACCAGTTTCATGCACAGCTGGATTGTTTTTATTCTCGTGTGAATCTTTGCTTTCCCCTTCTTGCCTTTCAGCTCTGTCAAAATCAGATTCCGGCCAAGACTCTTCCTCCCCTTCCACCACCCCAAACACAAGAGGCTTTTCATCCCCGTCAACCACTCCGCAGCCCCGTTTAACCCCCGCCCCGGTCCCGACCCCGCCGCTCATCCAGCCTCAGCCCCCACGCGTGCCTCCCACACCCACCAACCATACCCCGCTTTTGGGGCCCCCCTTCCCCCTCCCGACCCCGGACGTCCTGGCCCAGGGCATGACATCTGTTCCCCCTCCAGCCGTGACGCACCCAGGCCTCCATCCGGCGCCCATGCTGCAGAGCTCTCCTGCTCTTATTAAGGTGAAAAAAATAAGTGCACACATCCTACCCCCCTCCCCAAATAAGATGTTAGCAGATTCTTGGATTTTCTAACTTTATACGTCTGGTTTGGCCACAGCAAAGGAAGAGCCAGAAGAGGAAAGCGGACACCACCACGCCCACAGCCAACGACCAGCTCAGTGAATCGCCTCCCGTGTCGGACGCCACTCGGCCGCGGCGAGACAGCAACCGACCATTAAAGCAACCCAAAAGAGACCCCTCGCAGCCAGACTCGCAGCATCACCTGGGAGCGGGGCTGGAGACGGGGGGGATGTCGACGCCGAAGCGCCAGGAGCAGCTGCGCTCCTGCGCGCGCCTCGTTCGGGAGATGCTGTCAAAGAAACACGTGGCGTACGCCTGGCCTTTTTACAAACCCGTGGATGCAAAAGCCCTCGGCCTTCACGACTACCATGACATCATCAAGCACCCAATGGATCTCAGCACCATCAAGGTGACTGAAGGCCTCTCTTTCTGAAGCTCTGGCTTTAAATTGGTGAATGTTTTGGGCTCAGGCTGTCAAAAAGAGGCTTCCGCGTTAAGGTGGAGCGTTTGATAAGTCTGCGGCCAGAGAGGTGACTACAATAAGGCTCTTTATGTCTCTCATTTTGATCATCTTTGGCGTGTCTTCCTCAGAAAAAGTTGGATAATCGACAGTACAGGGACGCCCAAGAATTTGCAGCAGACGTCAGGGTTATGTTCTCAAACTGTTACAAGTACAACCCACCAGACCATGACGTGGTTTCCATGGCACGCAAATTACAGGTAAATGGCATAATTCACCTATGATCAAGCAAAGTAGAGCAGATGTGAAACATGCAACTGAACCACGGCTGATTTTTCGGGAATGTCCTACAAGCTTGGCACACCCTCCATTTCGAGCTTTCCTCTCTTTTGTTTCTTTCCAGAAATATTCCTGCTCAAATAGGCCGGTTTCGGATCTGTGCCAGACCAATTTTCGGTGTTACTTGAGTAGTAATTTTCAGAATTCAGGTCAACACTCTGACTGGGTCCCCTCAGGCCTGCCGTAGTCTTTTCAAAAGCTCCCTTTTGGTTTTGCTGACTGTTTGCGTCAGGTCTTTGTGTAGCTGAGACGTTGTCCTTCGTCTCAGCCTGAGATTCCGATAGATATACAGGCGGTCCTATCAACCTCACAGCCATGCAGAGAGTGCTGTAGGTCCAAAGAGTTCCATTAGTGCTAGACAATTTGTAAAAGCAGGGATGCTCCAGAGTTAGTTTCAGGTGTAAGAGTTAAATGAAAGTGGAGGTCGTCACTGGTCACACTGCATTTTACTCTTTTCATTTCTAAATACACTAGTGGAGTCAGTTTGGGTACATGAGTCTTTACTCTTTTGCCATTACACTACAGCTGAGTGTTTCCCTGAATTCACTAGATTCTGATTCGGAGTTTAAGTCTGAACTTAAACGATAAAATGAAGTTGTAGTAAAGTGGGAAAACTCTTAAAAGCTCCTCAGCAAACCACTGTGAGTGTGAGTAAGCCGTGCAGCACATGTAGAATTCCCTCTGTCCGCCTGTCTTAACAGGACGTGTTTGAGATGCGATTTGCCAAAATGCCCGACGATCCGGAGGAGCCCAGCCCTGTCCCCACGCCGTCGTCCGCCCTCCACCCGGCACCCTCCATCCGACAAGCCGCGCCTCCTTCTGCCGCTTTCCAAGACAACAGCTCCAGTTCCTCAGAATCGGAATCCTCTGCAGAAGACTCGGAGCATGAAAGGAAACAGCGGCTGGCTGAATTACAGGAACAGGTTAGAGGACGGAGCCTGAAGGGGTGGGGAGGTGTAGGAGATGCAGAGGGTGGGCGGGCCGCACACAACCAAGCAGTGGTAAGAGCAGAGAGGCAGATTCGCCAACCGTAAACCAGGCCCTCTATTCACACCGCAACTTGTATGTGTGTTTGTTACGTCTAGCTGAAGGCTGTCCACGAGCAGCTGGCTGCCCTCTCCCAGCCCCAGGCCAGCAAGCCCAAGAAGAAAGAGAGAGACAAGAAGGAGAAGAAGAAAGAGAAGCACAAGAAGAAGATAGGCGCAGAGGAGCCCGTCGAGACCGCTTCCCTCGGGATGCTGCAGACCTCCAAGAAAAGCAAGAGCAGCAAGGACCCCGTCATCGCAAAGGACAGGAAAAAGCCCGGGTAGGTCCAGCTCTGGGAGCAAAACACCAGATTTCTGTCACTGCTTGAACTGCAGTCCAGTCAGTCAATCGTTTGGTTTTTCGTTTTTCCCGTTTGCAGTAAGAAAGAAGGCATCAAAAACAATCGCCCGGCCGTGCCCCCCCAGCCAGGCCCCATCCCTCTCGTTCCTTCGGCTTCTCTTGAAGCCGAGGACGACGTAGGTATGTATCAGTGCAGAGCCAGCACAGCACTCCTGTCCTTTTTGTCTGCATGAGTTCCAGATCAAGTTCAAATAGTGGTTTCTCAAAGGCCCAGTGTCAGTGCTCTGCGATGTGTCCCTCTCCAGATGTGTTTGGGGGCCTGTCTGCTGACAGATGTAAGCCAATGTCATACGAGGAGAAGCGGCAGTTGAGCCTGGACATAAACAAATTGCCCGGGGACAAACTGGGTCGCGTGGTGCTCATAATCCAGACGCGCGAGCCTTCGCTGAAGAACTCAAACCCCGACGAGATTGAGATCGACTTTGAGACACTGAAGCCCTCCACGCTGAGAGAGCTGGAGAAATACGTCTCCAGCTGCCTCAAAAAGAAGAAAAAACCATCAGGTTGGCTTTTATATGCTTGTACGCAGAGGTTTTTTTTTCGAAGTAATGAGATAATATTCACAAAATCCCTTCAAGCGAGGCTCAACCGAGGAAAGAAGCTCTAGTTGTTTTTTTTGTATTTTAATGGAGCTGTTAGTCATCCCAGAGGGACAGGTGAGTCAGAAGTCCTCGTGAGGACCAGTCAGTCCAGTCTTACAGGCTGTCAAACTGATTTTTGATACAAGCCAGCAAATCTACAGATCTACTTTCTTTTATCCCCTCATCGCCTTAGTTGATGAGGAGGGGGAAAGCTTGAACTGTGTCCATATTTTTCCGATAACTTCTGAAGCTCAGATCCTGTGCCGAAGTCTGATTGTTCACACTGTCCCGCTCCGACTAACCCTATCCTCGCTTTATTTCAAACCTTAAATCCAGGTCCTGCTCATTATCCCTGGCGATGTTCTTATGTGTGTATCTGTTGATCTTTTGTCCTTTCACACTCTTCGTTTACAGTCAGACCGAGCGGGGGCGATGTTTTTGCACTGTGTAGGGAAACGCCTGTCTGGCTGCTCCCGTTCGGTCAAAAGTTTTTCCAGGGTTGGAGGGTAGATGTTCAGGAACTTGCCTTGTCTGTGGCTTTCGTTGCAGTAGAGAAGTCGCTTGAATCGACGAATGTGACGAAGATGAAGACGGGATCCTCATCTTCGGGCAGCAGTGACTCCTCTGACAGTGAAGACTCTGAGAATGGTAAAGCACGCACCACTCACCGTGCACGTCTGGGACGATCCTCCTCATTTCCCCGGCTCCCTCTGACTCCTCCTGTGCCTCCCGTTGTCAGGGCTGGTTCCCAAGCTGCAAAAGAAGACGTCGACCATCAAGGACACAAAGAGGCCGCCTCAGCAGCCTCTGGGTGGCGGAGTGGGCCCGGTTCCTCCTGCGCCTCAGGCTCTGCCTCAGCCTCTGCCTCTGCCTCTGCCCCTCCCTCAGCCTCAGCTGCTCCAGTCCAAGCCACCGTTCATCCCCCCTCCTCCCGTCCCCGTCTCTGTCCCCTCTCTGGACTCCTCCCAACTAATGAGCTCGGGATTCGATCCTCTGGCTCAGTTCATGAACCCGCACCTAACGCAGTCCAACACGGAGCCCAGCGCCACCATGGCCCCCTCCGCTCCCCCCGTGGCCTCGGCCATTCTCAACGTAAACGCCCCCGGCAGCCACGCGCCGGCCGAGACGCACCCTTTCCTAAACCAACATCCCATACTGCCGTCTCCAGGTACGTGCACCCGAACGGCCGCCGGCCACGGCCTTCACATCTGAAGTCAATGACGGACTGAGGCTGAGCTTCTCTTTTCTCTCTCTCGTGTCTCCCCTCTGTGCAGCCGTTCACAACGCCCTCCCCCAGCAGCCGTCGAGGCCGAGCCACCGCGCCGCGCCGCTTCCGCCCAAGCCTCCGCAGCCCCCCCCGGCCCCGCTCCCGGCCCTGCCTCCGTCTCCCTCCCCCCAGCTGCAGCCCGCGCTGTCCCTCAACCTGCCCCAGCCCGCCCCCCGCCCGCGGGTCCCCTCCCCGCCGTCGCACGGCATCCTGGGAACCCTCTCAGCCCAGCCCCCCCAGGCCCTGCTGGAGGACGACGAGGAGCCCACGGCCGCCAGCGCCGACACGCCGCCGCTCAGCCAGGTCCACAGCCTCCTGCAGTCGCTGCAGGCCCGGCCCGCCCCGCAGCCCCCGCCGCTGCACACGCACTCGCCGCAGCTGGCGCCGCCCATGCACACGCAGGCCCTGCCCACGCCCGCCCCGGCCCTCCCGCAGAGGCAGGGCCCGGGACACATGCCGCAGCCCTTCCCGCACACGCACCCGCCGCTGGCGCAGCAGCAGCCGAAGGGGGCGGCGGCCGGGATGCAGGCGGCGGCGGCCGGGATGCAGGCGGCGGCGGCCGGGATGGCGGCGGCGGCCGGAATGGCGGCGGCAGCCGGGATGCAGGTTGCCGGGATGCAAGCGGCCGGGATGGCGGCGGCGGCCGGGATGCAGACGGCCGGAATGCAGGCGGCCGGAATGGCGGCGGCTGGGATGGCGGCGGCCCTCCAGCAGAAGGTGCAGCCGCTGCAGCAACATCAACCGCAGCTTTCGCCACGCGGCAAAGTGGAGCCCTTCTCAACAGGTGGGGCACTTTTCTCTCCCCGCTACGTTCCCCAAGCATTTACTACTCAGTGAAGTGACATCAAGTCAAAGAATTACATCCGTGGTAAATCTGAATCACTAGCTAACTCCACTCCATCATGGTGGAGCTCCCGTTGACACAGATTGCAGCTGTGCAAATACAGAGGACCATAAAGGTTAATGCAATGTTCCACAACCAGAAAAACATTCAACAACGTATTCAATACCAGGCATTTTACCTGACTGTCTCCTGTCCATGTAGCTCTTCATGACAAATGAAGCCAATTTAATTCACACAGTGAAAAGTTTTTTTTATTTTTTATTTTTAAATTTTTTTTAGGCTGCCTGCGGGAGAGCCCCGATCCTCTGATGCATTCTCCACAGATGCCTCAGTTCCATGCAATGGGACAGCATTCGCCCACACAGACCAAGAAGCTTGTAAGTGTGTGTGTTTGTGTGTGTCATTGTGTGATGATGGTGAATGGTTTGGACCATGAAAGTGTTCGGTCTTACTTTGTATTTAAACCTTTAAAACATAGTTGCACCAATTTTTGTTTGCTTTTTCTAGGAACAGAGGTCCAACCTCATTGGAGTTAAAGAGGAGAAGCCTTCACAGTCACCAGTTCTGCCACCGTCACCCTTCAGCCCCGCAGTCCGCCAGGAGACGCATAAACCCGACAGCAAACACAGTGAGTCCGAGTGTCATTCGGGGTAATTTGTCCCGGAGGGCAGCGGATAATAAAGATTTATTTAGAACCGGTATGTGCACACAGGGACGGGATTGTTATCTCCTCCACTTATTGACAGCTGTATTCACACAGCTTTAATATGTTCCAGTGTGCGTGTGAGCAAGTAAATGTCCACAGTTGTTGCCTGGACTCCTCACAGTTTGCTACCCCATAAGATCCCCAGAAAAGTCTGTACTGATCACAGATGCCCCCTCGTAGCCATCTCCCACTCTCTGTGCTCCCCACCCAGCGTTCTTTCTCTGTACTTGCACAGTTCTAACAGTTCTAACATGTGCCTTCCTCAGGGTTAGATATAAAGCCATTGGATGGTTCACGCCCTATTCCACACCTTCCGGACTCGCCGGTCCTACCTTGCCCGCAGCAGGACAGCAAGATCAAGCAAGAACCCAAAACGCCTGTTGCACCCAAGAAGGCACAGGTGTGTCCAGGCAACACGAGCGGCCTCAAATTCCCCCATCGTCTTCTTTTTTTTTAATGACCCGCACCTTTCCGAGCATGTTTTCAACTTTTCACCCTTGCTCTTCGTGCTCTCCTTCCCCGTAGGATACAAAGTTAAAAAACATGGGCTCCTGGGCCAGCCTGGCTCAGAGGTCTCAGTCCACACCGGCCTCTTCGGTGCGCTCCTCCAGCGAAAGCTTCGAGCAGTTCAGACGGGCTGCCAGGGAGAAGGAAGAAAGGGAGAGACAGCTGAAAGCACAAGCGGAGCAAGCCAGGAGAGAGCAAGAAAAGCTACGGTGAGTCGGAGTGACAGTGTGGAATAGAAAGGGAACAGTCCACCGACAATTCTGAAGTCAGTGGACTGGGGGGGGGGGGTCACCAGTTTTTTTTTGTGTATTTCATCCACCGATTTGAAGAGGAAAGCTTCTCAGAGCCACGTAGCCCATCAACAATCACTTAAATCTCAAAATGACAAACAAGAAAAGCTATTTTTATGCCAATTAACTGTTCAGACATCACAATAATGGTTCAGTTTTTCCTGTCTTATCTATAAAGCTCACTTTATACGAACGTATAAATGAGGTCAACATAATTGCGACTGTGATAGTTTTCAGTGTAACAGGTGAACACGTAGTTGACTGTTGACCCATAAAAAATTTCAGATCCACCGATACCTCGGTTGGGTTAATTATATTTCCCTTTTCTCTAATTGAACATGAAGCAATGGCTGCCTGCGCTGCAGTGAAGAAGAGGCTGTAACTCCTCTGATAGTACTAGAGTTTTTTACTTTGCTTCCTCTTCATATTCAGTGTGTTGGCAGTTAGTGCCGCTTCTCATGATAATCTCTATTTAAGTGTAAGTTATATGTATAAATGTGTAATTACTTCATCACAAGAGAAAGTTGTCATGGCATGGTCCTTTCCAAACCATAGATATTTGTTTGTAGTATTTCAAACATTTCACTCAGGATTTAGGTTGGCCTTTTACTGTGCCCCCACACGTTGCTTCTTCTTGACTGGAGCCATCGATAAGCAGCCCGCTCACTGCTGCTGCTTTTGTTGTTGTTGATTTCCGTGTGGTAGCCGTGACGACGACGACACGATGGAGCACGCTCGCAGAGCTCAAGACGAAACCCGCCGTCGCCAGGAGCAACAGTCGCCTCTGGCCCCAACGCCCCCAGCCTCGACTCCGCCCACTCACTCCCCGCAAGCCCCGCCCCCACCACCGCAAGCCCCGCCTCCAGCGGCCGCCGCCGCCGCCGCCGCGGCCTCCGCTGCTCAGAACGCCCTGGACCAGCAGAGGCAGATGGCTCGCCGCCGCGAACAGGAGAGGCGCCGGAGAGAAGCGGTAGGACTCGAATCACACACACACATATATATATATATATATACACACACACACAGATTTTTTAAAATATGTATATAATCTCCTTTTCGTCTCTGTCCTCTCCACAGATGGCAGACACCATTGACATCAATTTCCAGAGCGACCTGATGGCAATTTTTGAAGAGAATCTGTTCTGAACAGAAGTGTGAGGGGAAGGACCTATAGTAACACAAGAGCAAATTCACAGAATACACATAAGTAACAATGCTCTGACACACATGGTTGCTGCCTCACAATTGCACACCCACATTACACAGACTCAGTAATAACTGTCCTTTTCTCTCAGTAGTTGAAACAGCTGGCTTGTGTCATGTGTATGGGAAGTGATTTAGATAGGCCATTGTCCTTTCTTCCAGCGGGGGGATTCATGTTTCTGGCTTGATAATAATGATCGATTGTTCTTGATTTGCTGGAGAAACTGGATGAGTAGCCAAGGAGTCGGCTCCATCGAGGAATCGTTGAAAGGAGGTGGCAGACCTTAATTTAAAAGTAATCGTGATGAAGGGCAGGACTTAATTTAAGAAACGGTGAAAACTAAGAACATGTTTTTTTGTTGTTGTTTTTTTTTTCCGTCTCTGATATGTGAGAGGAGAAGTATTGGAGGAAGGGGAGGGGGGGGTGGGTGTAAAAGGAACGGGTGAAAAGCAAAAACAAATAATAAATGGATCACTTTCCGCTACTTTTTTCCCCTCCTCCCTCTCTCCTAATCTTGTCTCTTTATTGGACTGGATTGGGCTGAGTCGTCAAGTTGGTCAGGTTCAGCCATCATCTCAGTTTGTTCTCCCTGGACACAGTTGGAGCTGTGGCCACAAACACTCTTCATCCTCCCGTCACATCCTCCTGCCTCTGTCTGCGATCACAAACGGGAGGGGGGGGGGCCCACCACATCCAAAATCAGAGTGTGTCCCTTTGCCTTAGCGCTCTGGCCTGTAAAGTAATTATCATACCCTACAAATTATACATATACATATATATATATATATATGTAATAGATACAAGGATATATATATATATATATATATGTATATATATTCATATATATTATATACAACAAAAGTCAGCGACAAAGAATATGAGAGATCTTGATGGTGGGGAGCAAAGCTCGTCTCTGTGTTCATCTCTGAGCTCTGGTTTTGAATTTGTAGAATTTACTGTAAAGAAGAAAAAAAACATTTTTATGATTCTATTGAGAGGATTGTTTCGTCTAATTCTCCCTCACACCTTTTCTGTTTTGTTTTTTTTTTCTCTCAACTCTATGCCAAAACCAATCTATTGAGTGCTGAAATTTCTTTCACTTTTTTTTTTTTTTTACATGTAAAATGAATCTTCTTTTCACTTTATATTAAAGGCTATGTTTTTATTGCTATTTAATTTTCCTTTATCCCCTTTTAAATCTGAAGTTATGCAACAGTTTGCTCTGTAATAGATGGAAAATAGCGGTTTCAAAATGATTTTATGTGACTACTAGGTCCTGTCATTATGTAGTTGTGCGATAAATCTGCACTTAAATGTTTATTTACTGACATCTTTTTTTTTCTTCATTGTTTCCTCTCATCATGTACATGTTTTAGTCTTTTAACTATCTTGTCTACCACAATCATCCCCACAGCTCCTGCAGTCTTTATTATAGGCTCTTGTTTCTGACTCTGTCTTTTAGTTCTTACTCTTGAAATGTGTTTATCGTCATTGGTAACAGTTTTGGGATTTTGTGTGCCATTGTGTTTTTTCTGGAAGTGGGAGCTTTCCCCATTTTCTGTAGGTTGGCCCAGAGATCTGAGTGCGTTTTCAATTCTATAATCACTTTTCTATGTTTCTTTAATTTCTTTTTCCTTTTCATAATCTCCTTTTGGAAATTTCTTTCCTTTTTTTTTTTCTTTTGCTATTTTCTTTTTGGTTTATTTTACCCAGAACAATGTGTTGGTATGTTGGTGAATGAGGCATTGAGGTCAGTAGAGTCATCTTCGGATAATGGAGTACAGCATCTTTTTTTAAGAAAAGTATTAAAATAATATTTAAAAAATCGGCTTTGCTTATGTTCCTGTTTGCAAAAGAAATGTTTGTTTTTTTCAACTTGCGGTATTTAAGATTCACCAGCCGGGGGCGCTGCTGAGCAGAGCTTTGGCCCTGCTGCTCATTTTGGATTCATCTCACCCAGACTGGAAGCCAGTGATTTGTTTCAGTCATCAGCCATCCCACAATTCCTTGCTCTTGTATATGCAAAGCATGTCCAGTCATAATAGATCAGATTGAGATACTAAAAGGAAAAGGGACGACATGAGGGCAAAAACAATCCTCCACCTTCTTGACGGCTTCATCACGTATAGTGAAGTTCATGTGAACACGATGCTGCCCTGAGACGGTTGTTTCTGTAATATTAATCTGGAATTGTGTCTCAGCGACGGTGCCGGTTGAGTTCAAATGCTGAACATTTTATTTTATTTGATGGCATCCCATTTTTCTGAGACCGTGCATATGTTTTTCTTAACCTAAAGGTATTTATGGACATGCTAATGAAAAAATTCTGAGTTTATTGGTTAGGTTTCCTTTTGTTTAAAATATCCGCTCAATCCCCAGATTTTATCAACCCAAATGATGTTCTATTGGCAATAAAAGAGCAAAACTCAAACCCCTGTGGCACCAGCAGCAGATCCCACATTTTTGTAATTTTATGATGGCCTAGGAAATGGATCCACTCGGTCAGCTTTTATTCAGGCTAAGCAGTATAGGTTCAATTAAACTGAAGATGTAGTACAATGAGGTTGTTTAGGTTTTTTTTTTTTTTAGCTTTCAGAGACAGCAAATCCCGTGATTGTTCATACAAAGGAATATCCAGTTTTGGTTCACAGAACAGCAGTACACATAGCGGTCAGATGACTCCTGTATCGTTTTGGGAGTCACTGTCCTGTCGAATGACGCAGGCAAAACGTAATGTGGATATCTGGTGGTTCCAACCTGTGTAAGAACACCGTGTTCTTTCCTCTGCAGAGCTCGTGGCGGGGTTTCGAGGTGTGAGATGGGCTCTTCGCTTAGCCCTAAAATTGAGACATTGTGTAGGATGTGCTGATGTAGCAAAGGATGGTTGCTGGTTTCAGAGAAGCAGTGGAAAGCGTGGATAACTCCGACCTGAAATGCGGACATCGCTTTTATTTCGGATGGCCCTCGTTCAGCCACACATCTGAAGCCTTGACACGACTTTTGTTAGTCACGATAACCACTGTGTTATTTCAAGTGTGTCCCACACTCTGCTCTTTGGCCTTGGGCGGCTGATAAATCTGCCGCTGCCTTTTGGTCCCTTCTTTTCTTTAACCTGCTCCGCCAGCAGAAATATGTTCCCTCTTCTTTTTTTGACTTTCAAATGAGAGCAGCTTTGTGGTTTTGCGTTTTGCATTTAAATGATTTTGAACTGCAGCCAGGGCAGAACAGAAACCTGCATCACTTCTTCAACCCCCCACGTCTGTAAGGGCTCAGAGAAACTAACTGAAGGGAAAATGTCTAATTGACCCCTTTAATTCATCAGGTGAGAGAATGAGAAAAGGCCAACAATAATGTCACCAAAAGGGGTGAATGTCCCCCGCCTGTCAAAAGGTAGACACTGCTGTGAGCTATGTGAAATACAGAGTAAGGGGAACAAATGTTTGAAAAAGCAATGTAGTCTGTGAGGGCAATGAGAAACAGTTTGTACTGCACGTGTCAACAGACACTGGAAAGCTGAATGGGTCGAGCAGGATGAGTGAAGAGGGGGAGAAGTCATGTGATCCTCTCGCAGGGAAGTACAACTCTTTGCATTCTTGCCTTTTTTTCTGTTCAGGGTTTCTTTTTTTTTCATATCTAGCAAAGGAGGGAACCCAACTACAGTCTGCATGATGGAACAGTTAAAGTTAAGATCAGTGACATTTACAGCTGTGTGAAAAGACTAGTCCACCTATATTTCTTCCTTTGAAAATAAAGGGATGTATTGCTTTAAATACACTAAATCAACTGATCTTCAGCATGCTTAAACTTCTATGGAGTCAATTTGATATGGTTAATGTTTACATGCGTTTCTCATTCACCCATTCACAAAACTTATACAGTTGTTTTTGCACCCTTTTTCTGAGTGAGTGACCATATGGAGGACACTCTGAGAGTCACTGTCTTGCTCAACATGACAAACAGGGAATGGGGAGCATTCTGGTGTTTCGTCATGCAACGCTAGGGACCCCGCCACTGATTTGAGAGGAGCAACTGTGTGCTGCATATCGAACTAGAAAAGGTTTTACAGCCATTTACCATTTCCAACTATTTTCGAGATGCAGCAATGTGGAAGATTTTTCGCAAAATTTGCAAGACAGCAGCCACTCTTCCAAGGAAAGAATGGCAAAACAAGTTGACGCCAAGGTCAGATTGTGAAAATGTCAGAGAAACTGCAATAAAACTCAAATGAACAAGAGCTGCAGGCCAAACACTACTGAGTCATCACATTGGATGTTCGCCGTTTAGGACAATAAGATCAGAAAAAGGTTGAGTAAGAGTGGTTTGTTTGGAAGGGTTGTTGGATGAAATCCTCTCTGTTTTTAAAAGAATTACCAGATTAAACCAGACACCGCTGAAGTGTCACCAACTGGTTTTCAGCTTTCTGTGGGCTCATGACTTAAAAGGAAATCTCAGTTCAGGTCACACATCCATCCATTGTTCCAGGTTGAAAGCCACTTATCAAGTGACAATTGTACTTCTGCAAACCTAGACGGCTTCATGTTTCATACTTTTACTCAAGCATATTTTTCAAGCTTTCTAGTATTTTCTATAGTGGAAATTGCATGAAAATTGAACCAGTAGCCAATGGAACAGGCCCCGCCGAGCAACTGAAAAAATAAATATTTTTTTTTCAATATTTGTATTCTTTGCATACTGGAGCAAACGGAGGGATCCAGTCTCAGAGTTTAGTCATCTCTCATTAAAAAAAGTTCAGCTAAGAGATGCATCCTCTAACAGTCGGAGCTTTGATATAATCCTTTTAAGATCTGTGCAATTAGAGGCGGAGGCTGGACGAGAATCCCAAACATACTGTACCACATACCGGCAGCGTGTAATCTGCATTTACGGCTTCTGCTTCACCCGCAGATAGAGAGAGAACCACTCCAGTCTTCCCGTTAATGACATTAAAAAGAGGTTGGGGGTGGAAATCAGTGATGGGAGTAATCAGTGGGACATCAAGGCCCTCCCAGGAATCAATGCCAGATGACAGTAAACGGCTCCATATGTGACTTATAGACACGCAAACACACACGGTCCCGATTTGAAGCTGCAACACATTGCACAAGATCCCACATCGTTTTGTTGAAAAGACACACTGGGAATAGCTGACACATTCTGCTGCTTACACGCAACATGTAGTCGGGATCTGCTTTGAGTTGAGTGGCTTGTGAGAAAAGCTCTGGCAGCCATTTGGTTTGTGACTGGGTCTTCCCTCTGTCTCTGCCGTTTCACCACTCACTTCAAGTGTTTATGCCCTACTCAATAAATCACTCTGAAGGACGCCTGCTTTTTTCCTCATTGTTCTGCAGGGATTCTCACCACCTTCCCTTCTCCTCCATCCTGTTCCAAGCCAGTAATAGAACTTCCTTTGGTCTGTTTTGACTATTTTGGTAACAGAGCCATATCTTAGAAACAAAGAGGGAAATAAAAATCTTTTTTTCTGAAATAATTATATTTACGTAACAGCAATATGTTCGGTGAGGGATTAAAAGTCTTAGAAATCCCCAAAAAGTATTGAGTATCAAGATCAAATGAAATAATGGACATGAACCAACATCTGAACAAAACATCATTGATATTTTATGAAAAAGCTTCCCTACTCCTTAAAAATTTCAAATATTGGTTTTATCTTTCAGGAAATGCGTTTATTTTGATTTCCAGGAAGCTTTTTCCAGAGTTGCATGCCAAATCCAGGAAAGAGAGATACTTTAGCATAAAGGAAAGCAGCTGGCCACAGCTCCCAGCTGTGCATCTGTTTGGAACTTTTTGTAACATACAAGTAGGTGTGTACCACAATGTTTGACATGTAAGATACTTGAGCCTGCAGCTTTGTTATTATAATTAAAAATGTAAGAAAAAGACAAATATGGTTTAATATTAAAGTTTTGGATAGTTTTTCACCATAACTCCAGCACCTGGAATATTCATTTATGAACACAGCAGTCCTTCGGTTCCCTTAAATGGTAAGTGAAGAGGTATTTGCGTCTTCTTGTTTATGAATTTCCTTTCAACTCGGAAGCTAGTGCCATTGTCACTAATGTTTGTTCCTGACTTTCAAGGCAGTCATCCTGCCATCAACCCTGTAAGAGGTCTGGACAATCTGGAAGGGGCCAATGTGTGAATGTGAGGCCTGTCCTGCTGTCTGTATGTTGTTAGTTTGCATATGTTTAAATCCCCAAAACTCAGAAAAAATGGAATTGATGCCAGTCCTTATAGAATATGTAGCATAGACCTTTATCTGCAAACCCTCAACAAAATACGACCAAACCAACAACCATTTTGAGTGCGTGTAGTCTGTGTAGACACCCTCTGTAACATTTCAAACAAAGGGAATGAAACTACAACAGAGGAAGTCCAGCTGTGAAGTACATTTTTGAATGGTAGCACATGGGAAGTCGAGTCAGAACCGGCTACACATATTCAAGAACGTCTAATGTTTCATGTCTTCAACTGGCATAGCTGGGAAATCTAAGGTCCTCTTTCACAATCTTTTTTTGTGCAATACAGAATAGTAGTAGTTATACTATAATTGGTATCATCACTGTTGTTGTTTTTGTCAATGTAATTCTATGGCACATTTTGATTGTTTGGTCATTTCAAAATCTGGTTTAGAATAAAATCATCCTAGTTCTATGGTTCTGTGGCCTATTTTTTAAACAGAAGTTTAATCAATAAAAACAATTTCCGTCTGCAAGATATGTCTCTCGGACAAAGTGAATAAGGACAACCGGTTGACCTGGTGAACATGCAGCCATTCATTAAAATGATCTTATATACTAATGTGACAAGCAGCTTTGTTGTCAGGTGTAAAACTGGATAAAACTCGACTTTTTTTATTCTTGTAGAGGGACATATATCTCTGTTACTGTCAGTTTTATGATGTGTCCATTGGAGATTCCCAGAATTACAGATGGTTTTGTAAAAATAATTTATTTCACTGCATCATGTCTCCATTTTAAATGATGGTTGAGCCCGAATCGTTCAGCTCAAAGCCATACATTTCTGAAAATCCCCAAAGGCATTGTAATATCCCTTACTCTGTCCTGACCATAAGATGTGAATCAGTTTTAGTGGTCAATTTATAAGACACCTGCTGTTCTCCCCCCAGAGTTTGACGCTCATTCACATGGATAACTGCTGTAACATATTGCTCTTGTACAAGGATATGATATTTTAAATCTTGGTTTGAATTGGACACTGCTCCACCAAATGGGAACCCAGGCTCCTTTCATATCATGCCTGGCTATGAGAGATTTATTTGGTTGTGTACTGTGTCAAACAAGTATGGAAGGTATCACAGACTATCAGCATCAAGACAAAAATTACTATTGTTGCCTCAAGGCACCTGTCTGGCACATGAAGAGGAAGTGAGCGAACCGACACACAAGCATCGAAACTACGATTGCTGAAATAATACCTACCTAATAAGGGAAATAAGGCTGTAAATTGAACTCTCATTCATGCCTGCATCATCACTCATATGCAACACACAACAATCTTGATATTTTCGGTAAACAGATAAAAAAAGAGGAATAAAACCCAACACCCAGCTTTTTCTTTTTCTTCCTGGTATTTTGTCACCCGCTCTCTATGTCTTCCCTGTGCTAATCATGAGAGCCGTTTCCCTTTTAAATCCTTTCCATTTTGTTTACTGTAGTAACAACAAGGACAAACAGCCTTCTCTAAAATAGTGAGATTAAAACAAGTTGACAAAGCCAAGTCCTCCCACATGCTCCCTCTGTCATGAAAATGAATTAAAGATGAGGGAGACAGCCTGAGGCTCAACTGAGGCCATTAAAGAAGTTGTTGTGGTTGTTGTTAATGTACAAAATGAAGGTAGACGTTGGGGTCATATGGAAATATGATACAGAGGAGAAAACTACACAATTCTTTGCTATATTGTTCAGAAATGCTGTTTTCTTATGAGGGATTGATTATTTGTATGGTATATGGTAATAACAGCAATCTTGACCAAGCTTGAGTTGAGATGCCCCTCAGGTGAGATTATTTGAGCCTTTCCTGCAGCGAGACATTGATATTTATGAATTAAGCATCTGTTTATCAATTTCATCTGAGACTAAAATAACTTTATTTTGCTTATATAAATAATTCCAAAATTCAAACAAGGATTTAAGGATTTATGAAGTGTATTTTCCAAATTGTTATTGTTACTATTATTATTATTATTATTAATATTATTATTATTAGTAGTAGTAATAATAATAATAATAATAATAATAATAATAATAATAATAATAATAATAATAATAAGAAGAAGAAGAAGAAGAAGAAGAAGAAGAAGAAGAAGAAGAAGAAGAAGAAGAAGAAGAAGAAGCTTTCTAAAAAAAATTGTGTTTGACTTTTTTCCACGATCATCACATTACATCAAAAAACAAACAATTAATGCATCTTTTTTGTCACAACAGTCCTCTGCCTCAGTACAATACTCTGTGAAACATTTTCCTAACCTTTGTATGACCTGACATCAATATTTCAGCTCCTACTTCAGTCATAAAATCCCGCTACTCGTGTCAATCAGTCTTCTCCAGCCCTTTCATTGGCTAGTTTGTCTCCGCCTGAGCCAATAGCGGGCAGCGGTGGGCGGATACCGAGTGCTGCTCAGGTTGGCGGAGGGAAGCATACCGAAGAGCTCCAACCTGCTCTTTTGTGAACAAGAGCCGGGCCACGGGGAGGGGAGCAGCAACAGCCGCGCGGGACCGTGCCGCACCCATACAGCTCCTCCCGCGCGGAACTCTGAGCACAGGTAACAGGCGTTCAGTCTACCGGAAGCGAGCTGCCAACCCTGTATTCAAAGCGTTTCACTTATTTTTTTTGGGGGGGGGACGTAAAGAAAAATGCTTTGAAGGAGGCTGCGACTGAACACCCCGTTGAATCACTGCACAATTCCCCTGTGTTTTGCGCTCCTTTTGTTTTCCTCCCAGTTCTTCGAGGCAAAGGTGACCCCAGGTGCGCGAGGACACCGTTTCACTACTCGGTGAGATCTTATCTGGATATTCTTGACAGACAAGTTCACGCGCACAGAAAGGTGAGTCGGTTTTTCCCCACGGCAATGTGTTTAATCCTCTATGGTAATTTTCTTGTTTTGAAAGCTTGGAGCTGTAATTGGTAAAAAAAAAAAAAAAAAAAACGAAGAGGTAAAGAAAAACGAAGAGGGACATATTTCTTGTATTCCTGCGCGGATGTGCCCTATAGCCCATCAGCGCGTGCTAAGGCATCTCCACTGTCGCTCGGTTTGGGGGGAAGAGTCTGGAGTTCATTACGTTCTAAACACACTTTACACTGTTTGCTCTCGCCGTGTCCCGTTTGGGGAAATCTATTCACGCAGCCAGGCAACTTTGCCCTACTCCCAGCGAAAGCACTGTTATCACTCCTCCTGAGATAAGGTATTTCAGTTTTGTATCTTCCCTCGAGCCGGACGCCTCCGGTGCACGTTCGATCAGTGGGCAGCACGTAGTGGAACACGCATTTAGGCACACCGTGGTGGGGGGCAGCCCTGCTGTAAAGTTAACCAGCGTGAAGGTTTAATTAAGCGCTCGGCGGTTGTGTTGACACATTGTTGCCGTGTGTTGACTCTGCTCTGGAAGAGGGAGACGGCAAAATGTCGGGGACGTTGAGTGAAACTCGGACGAATGAAAGGGTGTTTCCCGGTATTTACCGTCAGATTTCTGGAGCGGTAAAAAAAAAAAAAGAAAAAAAAAAGCATCTGGTCAGGGCTGGATTTATCCTTTTCTTTTCTTTTGCTTTACAGTTTGTCTGCAGTTCTCAAAAAACTAGAACAAGCATCAGTCATTTACTGTGTGTGATGGGCTCACCTACTCTGTGTGTGTGTGTGTGTGTGTGTGTGTGGTGGCACCTCAAGTGATACCAGGCTTAGTGTTTGTCTTGTCATCCTTAGTGATTTAGGAGAAGTATCTCCTATGTGCATTTTCTAAAGTCCACTATTACATTTACCCACCTAAAACATGTCAGGGAAAGCCACACACCTTCTGTAATATCAGCCTGCACTGATCTGACTTCTGCCAAAAAACATGGGTAACAGAATGTGCTGTCACATGTTCCAGGACCTCTGTTGGCCCATGATAATCATCTGTTTTAGGTGGAGGGATTAGTAGTTTCACCTGTGAAAGAGACGGTGGGACTTATTCCTTTGTGTTCTAAAGTGGATAGAATTAAACACTTTGACAAACAGATGTGAATGGTGCGGAGATTGGCAGAGTTTCTGTTTTTAATCGGATGAAGCACAACACTGAAGCGCTGGTTGTGGTCACTCTGCGTTTGTGTGTTCTTGTGCTGGAAGTGTGTCCTCCTTTGGGTATGCTAAAGTTTGGCGGCTCAGGCTCCTCTCTCTGAGCGGGTGGGGGAGAGCAGAGCTGGGTGTGGCTCCTTGGTAATGACCAGTTTGCATTCAAACTGGTGTTTACAGATTCAGACCCAGTCCATTCACACACACGGCATGAAAACACACACTCATGAAAATGGAAACACCCGGATGTGATGGAAGTACCTTTAAAGGAACATTTTAGAGCAATGGAAGTAGCCCGTAGAAAAGGTTCAATACGTTTTCTGAACTATGTATCGTTACTTATTATGATGTAAACGATTAAATGCTCTTTTTTCAATGTACAGTAATGGGCATTTTTTGGGCAAGTTTTCTTTTATTATGTTGGCATGTATTTTATTTAGAAACAGCCAAGTCTTAATCAATTTCTATTTAGAATAATGAAATGCAAAGCAAACAAAGCAAGATGTATTTATTGCAGGAAAACAAAACATAATGCATTTGGAAGATTTACATATGTACTATATTTACTTTTTTAAAGATTTTTTTCTTTTTTTTTATAAACCTATTGACTGATTTTGACAAAATTATCTTTTTAAAACGTCCTGTGTAAAGAAGCAGAAAATAGTGCTGACTTTAGAGGCGCACCATTGGTATCCATCTAAATCCGGAAAGATGCCCTATCGCGTTAAATCTAGGTGTGTTTGTCTGGATTTTGGGATTTCATACAAGGTTTATTGTCAAGTTTTGGTCAAAGTAACACTACATTTTGTTTTTATGTTGTTTAATGGTCTTTCGATTTGCCTGAAGAAAAGAAAGCTGTCGGTCATAAAACAACTGTGAAATGAGCCCAACTTTTACCCTCTGTTGAACTCCGGTCATGTCCCACCAGCTGATGTATTTCCATTCCCCACTGTCACTTCTCACGAATAGAGACGGAAAGTCCCCCCTGTAGCTCTTCACTTTTACAGGAATCCTTCACAGCATTCGCCCCACAGGGGTCTGCTTATGGCCTCCTGCAGGTAGTGACATGGTGACGGAGCTTCTTTGTGCTAGAGTCGAGGTGTAAAGGGGATAAAGGTTGTCCAGCACAGGCCGCATCTTCTCCATCCGTCTTCATTTTTACTGGCCACGCGTCTTCCTACCTGTGTTGAATTCGGCTGCGGTCCTCTGCTTTATGGCTTTCACCAAGTCTCTGCCAGTCTTTTGGGTTTCCACAGTCATTTGCTCAACCGTGGTAGAGAACGGTTTTGCTTGTTCACATCCTGTTGAAGCTGCTGCTTTTAACCACAGTCAGACTGTATATGTGCTTTTGGGGGTGCAGCTTCTAACATGGAAAAATACAAATCTTTGATATTTTTGCTCTGTTTGCTCTCCGTCAACTTGAATTTTGTGCCATTTTGACCATTTGTGTCTCTGGTTATTGCTTGTAGACTGATCACCTCGAGGAAATGGGTTAGAAGTGCTATTTATCAACATATTTATGTATATAAGTCTGTTCCTGTCTGAGTATGCCTTCTTCCTTTTCTTGTGTTTTGTCAAAACTTCTTCTGCTTTGCCTTTAAACAGCTTAGTTTCAGCAGATATTTTAAATGTATTATCAGTCAACACCCTTAGATCTGTGATATGGCTCAGTCCAAAAAACTTCAGCATAATCTTAGGCTTTTAAAAAAAGCTTTTTTTAGATAAAATAAACATTTTTTGCTGCTACATCTTAACATTAATGTGATTAATATTTAATACTGATGCCACTTTCTGATGGAACACGTCAACATAAAGAGTGCCCAGGGCCTGCCCTCACTTTACCTTTACCCTTGTTTCCTCCTCACTTTATTTTGCTGTTGATGCAGTTTGATAAGAAGGAGCGATGGCATTGAGAAAGATGATTAGTAATGGTTTGATTTAGGATTGTTTATATAAAAACCTTCGCTGTTGTAACAATAAGCATCCTGTTTCTTGCTTACTCTCAATGTGAGCAGGAGACATTTTGTGTGCATGTGGTTTAGCTCGGGCTATTGTAAATGCAGGTTAGCTAACATACACACTTCAAGCCGGTGGTTCTGTCCACTCACTCTGTCTCAGTGGCTTTTCTCTGCTTTTTCCTTTCTTACTTTTTAGAATTTTTTTAAATTGATGCTTTACAAAAAAATAGTATCATCCATAACTTGAATCTTTGAAACTACTTTCCACATTTTTCAGTTTTTTATCAGTCCTTCTCCCTCTCTTTTTTTTCTTTTTGGGTTTTCCCGCACGCGTTTGGCAGGAGAGCGGGTCGCTGACGTTCCTCCCTGTGTGTGCAGCATCGTGCATGTTTGGATTGAGATTGGGTTTCATAGCTGGATTGTGTAATTGTGAGGTGTGTCTCTGCTGCAGAGAGCTGCTCCGGCGTTTCCATTGTTGAGGGAGCTGAACTTGGAGCGAACGGTGATGAAGTGTAAAGAGCGGCTCTGACTCTAACAGGAAAACGGTGAAGGTGTGGGGGAGTGCTGTTTACTCAAAATACCCCACAAAGCTTCTGCAGGTTCACCAGAGCGCTGAGGTCTGCCGCTGGTGGCCACTCTCTGTGAGGGTGGGCTCAGTCCTGAACTGGTTGTGGTTACTGCGACACAGCCATTAGGTTCCTGTTGGGACTTGTCAGCCTGTGTAGATGCTTGTTGACTCCCAAGGAAAATATTTCTGTAAAAGTTTTTTTTTTCTAGACTTCTAAAGAGAAATTCTTACTTAAGATTGTTCTATTTAAAAATAAATAAATAAAAAAAGCTTTGGGGTTTTCACATAATTATTTCCGTATAAATATCACGTGTGGGGAGTATTGACTGACATATAATCCTGTACCCTCAGGAACCACAGGTCACCTGACCTATTTTCTTTTGGGCACATTTTGTTGGCTAACTTTGATCTCTGATTTACCTCTCTGCCTTCTACCTTTCATCAAGTGTTGGGACAGTTATGAGTCAAGTTTGGCTAGTTTCAGATATTTTGTTTGCTTGATGTACACCCTTTAATACAAAGGAACATCTTTTCCGCAGCCACATGGTTTGTTTCCTTACGTGTCTGCTTAAGCCATGAGAAGGGGATCACGGACTGATGGCTAAATAACTTCATTCCAGCTGAAATGTGTGAATCACTTCAGGCTTGTAGCTATTCACTCAGTTAAATCCAGATGGTGATTTATTTTGGACATTTTTTTCCTCCTTTCTGTTTTTTGAAGGACAATTGATGTGACTGTTGATTACATTAATTTATTATATTATTTTTTGATAGAATGGAATCTCCTGAGGTAAATCTGATGCAAGATAGATATTTTTAAACATTACCTGCTTATCAAATGCTACCTATATATTTATCTCCTCAATCAGTTAAACCGTCACCTTTCTTTGCATGTGCTGTGTTTCGTGTGTGAAAAGTTCCACTGATTTACATACTGTAAAATGGAAAGTAGGTGCTCCTTTCAGCCTGCACTGAACCAAAGCCCACTTACACTGAAATGGTTGTCAAATATGTGTTCCTGTCTCCAAACTCAATGTTTACTTTACACATTTTTAATGCCAGTTTAAATTACGATTAGGGGCATTGTTAAATTCCTGGATTTTTCTGTCTTTGTGACGTCCATTCCCATGACACTTATGGATTGTGGGTATCTGAAGTAGGCTGTATTTAATTGATTGACTGGCACATGCATTTTAAAATCTGTAAAAGCCACACATGGTGTCTCTTTCTTCTCTAAAACTAGTTTGTTTCCTCTTCAGGCCCTCATCTGTCCACCTGATGGCATGCAGATCTCCAAACATCTAAGGGGGCCAGTCTTATTTCCGCCCCACAACTCTTCTTTTGCTCTTTGTGTGACCATCTTCCTCCCACCCCTTCTTCTGTGACTTCCTTCTGGTCCCAACATCCACCTGCTTCCTCAGTATGGATATACTCAATGATGACGAGGAGGGATGCTACCGCAACCGCACCGTCAAATTCTTCTATGAGGAGAGCGGCAAGAACATCAGCGACCACTGGCGCAAACGGGATTATGTAATCGTCACCATGGGAATGACCGTTTGCTTCATTGTTATTTTTTCCAACCTTTTGGTCATAGGGGCTATTTTTAAAAACAAACGTTTTCACTTTCCCATCTACTACCTGTTGGGTAACCTGGCTTTGGCCGACCTATTCTCAGGTAAGATTCCATTACTATATATTGTACAATTGTGAGTGGATAACTATAAACTTCAGACTTTAGGATGCAATTTGTTTTTCTGACACATTCTCAAGCTGTCTGCTGACCTCAAAAAGTTTGGATGGTTCATTTTGGTTGTGGCAGCTAAGTCTTTCTGCTCTGTAATGTTAACCGTGTCAACTAAAGAGCAGATATTGATTGCAATTCAAAGTAGTTGTTTTTTTTATTTTATTTTAATTTAAATTACACATTCAGTCATATTTATCTGTATGTTATTGCATTCTGAGGAGCCAGTGGCATTTAGTGCCAAGGATGGGTGAAAAAGTTATCCTCTTCGATTCCCATCATAGTTTCTGACCTCATGACATGTATGCCGTTTGTGGTATTTGAGCAGTTTCAGGCCTCACATAGTCCATCCATCCATCCATCCTAATTTTTTCCCAGTGTCCTATTTGAACACGCTCCTTGTGCAAGCTTTTCAAAATACGAAGCCCATCACAGTCCACCTCCAGCTTCACAGCTGTCTCTGTAACGGGCTCGCCTTGTCAGGTGTTGGGGGTGAGGTGAAGTGCAGCCCAGCGAGGTGCTGATAGATCTGAAGCCTTTGATAACTGCTGAGTTAAAAGTGAGAGTTCGGTTTGTCCATCTTTGAGGAGTCTCGTGAGAGCTGCTGCTCGTTAATGCAACATGATGCCAATAGCGTGCATGTGTTTGCAAGCTGGCAGATCTGCTGCATACGGTGCAAATGCTGCTTCTTTGTCTTCCATCTTTGTCTTCCAAAGGCGGCATAAGTCATCGGAACACAACATCTTTTTAATGTCACAAGTTTCCCTTTTTGCAGTTTCCTTTGGGATTCAAAGCAACTTTAAAAAACTGAAAGTATGAATACAAAGTCCAGTGTAGTTGGGACATGTTCACCTTTGGAGTTTATTCGGTCCCTGCTGTCTGAGGTGGTTTTATCATTCACTCTTTGCTTGTAAAAACCGTCATTGGTGTGCAACCCAAGCTGCATGTTTAGCCAGCATGAAAAGTGAAACAGTTTTTTAAACGTGTCTATAGTAACTTCCTCCCTGTCCTCTTACCAGGTGTTTCCTACCTCCACTTGATGTTTCATACTGGTCCCTGGACTATTAAGCTGTCCAAGTACCAGTGGTTTGTGCGGCAAGGGCTGATCGACACCAGCCTCACTGCCTCGGTCCTAAACCTTTTAGCGGTGGCCGTGGAGCGACACCAAACCATCTTCAACATGACGCTGCACAGTAAGATGAGCACCCGCCGGGTTTTCTTCATCATAGTGTTCATATGGCTGGTGTCGATTATCATGGGCCTGGTGCCCACCATGGGCTGGCACTGCCTGTGCGACCTGCCGAACTGCTCCACCATGGCGCCGCTTTACAGCCGCAGCTACCTGGTGTTCTGGGCCCTCCTCAACTTGCTGACCTTCTCCATAATGGTGGCCGTCTACACCCGGATCTTTGTCTACGTGAGGCGCAAAAGCAGGCAGATGTCGCAGCACACAACCCAGATCAGACACAAGGAGACCGTGTTGAACCTGATGAAGACTGTCTCCATGATCCTGGGTGAGGAAACGCACACTATCTTTCATATAATTTGGTGGTGAAGATCCTGTCGAATACGTTTTGGCAATCAAGACATTTTCAGTAGAGGACATTTTTCTTCTTCTCTTATCTGTGAGGGTCATCTGGCTGCACCTTTTGGTGATGGGAGTACTCTGCCCCTTTGTCATGAGCTGCTTAGGTTTGACTAAACATTACACAATGATCTATTTATGTACAAGAGCACAGTATTACACGTTTTGGTGTAATTGATAAATGGCTCAATTTAAATTCCGTCTTAAATTCTTAAACCCCACATTAAAAACCTTTGTGAGCTTTATTTATTCATGAGTGGCTGACCTAAGTTTAACCTTTCTTAAAAAAAGTGAACGAAGAACATGAGTTCCCCTGCAGTATACAGACACCGCTATTTTAGAAAATCTGTATTTAGTTTGTTCCCTTTGATACAAGTGTTGTAGAAGAAGCAACTCATGAGAAAGACTCTTTGTTCATTTAAGTGCTTAACTTGGACAGTCATGTCCAAGAAAAACACCCTCACTGCTGTTATTGAAATTAAGAGGGTTAGTTGTAGCTAGGTGGTCTTACTCAAATACTCTTGATAAATTATTTTAGAGAATGAATTGTTGCTCTTAATAATAATAATAATAATAATAATTAAAGTATTACAGCCATTTGAAAACAATCTGCAGCCTATCATTCAGTTAGAGTGCTCGCATGTAGAAAACATTCATGGCAGCTGCCAGGCTATTCCGTAGAAAAAACTGATGGTGATCTGTGGGACTTCAAAATGAAAAGCCATGCCTTAGTTTGCATGTTAATTATTAGAGTTCCTGTCGGAATAATTGGAAAAAGCATGAACAACTTCGAGCTGTTTGGAAGAATTGCAACAGAAAGAGTGATCAGTCTAAAAAGAAGGTGGCAGCAGAATCCTATGAAGGGTTAGGTCAGCTGGGAGCTGTTTGCTCATAGTGCTCAGCAGCACATTTTGATGAAAAGCAAGTCACAGCATATGAGCACAAACTTCTCCTACCAGCTGTCAAAGAGCTGATGATTTGGAGTCACAGGACATAGACAGGCTGCTGTCCGTGAGTCCACCATGAACTCCTCTGGCCACACACACTTAATTTTTAATCGGATTTCAGTTATTACAGAGTATATCCCTGAAGTGCCCAGAGATGAGACCCGTTGAGATCTGATGCTTTTTTAGTAGAACTGAACCAAAGTCGACTGAATAGTGAAACAGTGACAGAGAAAAACCTCATTTGTTGATGTTTATCTGAGGTTAAACTGACCTGAAGACCCAGTAGGGACCAGATGTTTTTGTTCCTCTTTTTATGTTATGCTTTGATAAGTAAAAGTGAATAATGTGGGTTTGCGTTCTTTTATCGAGAATTCCAGGAACCATCATATCATGACAAATGTTTTCTTTTGGGGCTTTACCGAAAATGCAGTCCGCAGCTATTTGGGTATAGTTAGTAACTTGGAGAACACTGCAAGTAGCTGAGGTGCCACATTGGGTAATGAACAACAGTTCTTTAACACAAGTGACAGTTAAATGTATCAACAACAAAGGTGGTCATGGTAAAGTCATGTGTCCAAGAAGAAAAGAGCTGTCTCTGTATTAACAGCCCCAGAGTCTGCTGCTGAAGCATAAACATGTCTAGAAATGGGGACGTGCTATGGAATTACAGAGGGGGGAAATGTGTGCAGTGTTGTTAAACAGCATCTTCACGCCTCAGAAAGAATGCAGCTGCATCACAGATTCAATGCAAAGTTTGCCTTTAATGGACAGAGAGGGACCGCGAGCGGGGGAACACCATGCTCTGGAAGCCCGGGCTTGCCCCGAGTCCAACTGGTCAGCTTGCTGTCTGACATTGCTGCTCCCTGCTGATCCTCTTATCTCTGCCCAGGACATTCCTGCAGCCCTCCTCTGCAGCAAACACTCAGCATTTACTGCTTTCTCTATAAACATGTTTGGATTGTTAAAGCCGGTAACTAAAACTAATGAGGCTCCCCGTCCCCTGTCCTTTACCCCGTAAACAGTGTCAGCGACCCCTGGCAGACGCTCTGCTGGAGGAAACATTTGTAGGACAAAGTCTGTATTTTTCCATAGAAGAAGAAGAAAAACAACAAAAACCAAAACCTTTGTAAAACCCACAAATGGCATATCTTCCGGTAAATGTCTCCATCTCATTACCTCTGGGGCTGTTTGTCTACGCAGACACTGCAGAACCAAGTGCAGATCAGCCAGAAAAACAGAAATGATGTTTACAGAGTGTTGACTTGAGTCTTGATAATACTCTCTGTATCGGTTAGAGGAAACGGTAAGGAGGTCAACTGAGACATAAGATGAAATGATCATGACATATATTCAGACTTTGGCACACAGGCGTACAAACATGATGTCATTTCCTTGTCTGGGTGTGTTGTGCTGTAAACGATCAGCACCGGAGCTCCTCCTCTTAGTATAATACTCTCTTTCCCTTGTAAAGATTTATGAAGCGATAAGTGTATTTATTGTTAAGAAGTTTCAGCAGTTTTTGTGGACAAAGCTTTTGTTTGTTTTATTAATAAACACCCATGATTTTATTTTATTTATAAAGGAAAAAACTATCAAATATGTATGTTTGCCAAATGGGATGTTGTAAAAGCTGAAGGAAAAACTGTTGTGTAGTATCTTTAAACCACGTTCACATGTAAAATGAAGCGTGGCCTCGCAGAGAGAAGGTCCACCGTGCGGCAGGGCCATGGAGAACAGGGTGTCTGCTGCTGGGAAGTGGGAGCGTTCGCTGTTTGGGCAGGTCTCCAGGCTCGTATTGAGAGGCAGGGGTGGCTTGGCCAGAAACTCAGTAGGTTCTCTAGTGTGTTGTCTTGACAATGAGAAGCCAGCGGAGGAGCCAAAAACGTCGCTGAATAAGCTGACAAAGGCATCACGTTTGCCATCTACCTTCCACATCCTTCCGGCTGAACATGATCGGTTTGGATTCAGAGGCGGTGTGTTCAGATCGATGCTGTTCTGCCATCCAGCAGCGAGGAACCCAAGAGGCGGTGTTGAATGTTTGCATGTAGGACTTTTTACTGATCCCACTGCCTGTTGAAATCTGTGTGAAAAACAGGCTAATGTAACTTAAACTTTGTGTGTGTGTGTGTGTGTGTGACTCGTTTGGCTCACAGCACTCCCACTCGTTTTTCAAGGAAAGGCTCGCTCAGGTTTACTCAGAAATGCCTCGTGCCTCAAACGCGTTCACGGGCCGCCGTCACAGCTTGTCTGTACTTGTCAGAGCTACATTTTTACCTCCTATAGTGTTCCCTTCCCCCCCCCTTTTTTAACCTTCCTTTTGTTCTCTGCTAAAATATTTTAACTTGGACTTGCATGGAATCCTCCCTTGATTCCACTCTCACTTGGATTAAATTCCTCCAAAATGCCAAAAAGCTACACCCTTTTGTCCTGTCGCTCAGCAGCCAGGATCACGACGTCTGGCTTGTGAGGAAGGAAAAGTCAAAGGCAGAGCATGCCCTGACAAGGAGCTGTCGCAGAGGAACTGCTTTGTTTGTGCACGTATGACAGGCTGTGTGTGTGTGGGTGGGGGGGGGGGGGGGGGGATGCAGCCTTCTCTTCCATATCTGTGAGGTTTTAAACTTTAGTCAGGGAAAATTTGCTTTTAATCTCTCCTCCCGCCTGTGCGGGCATCTCTTCAAACTGCTTTTATGGCTGACATTTTCAGCTTGATTTCGGGGCAAAGCATGTTGTTGTGACAGTTAAGAGCACCATGAGGGTTGTGAGGAATGCATGACACATTGTAGGACCACTTTGTTTGACTGTTCGTGTGCATATATGTGTGTCTGTACATTCCAGAGCTTCCCTATCAAATATTATGATAATGAAACCAGATCATACCAACTGTGTCTGTGTGTGTGTTTCTACAAGGGATTCACAGTTCATTCCCCTCGCACTCCAACAGCCACGTCTTATTTATTTATTGTGCCTCACAGATATGCTCATTATCTTGTCCTTTTTCTTATGGATTCCGGACATGGTTGTTTAAAGGCAGCCCTGTGTTTACCTCTCTGGTTGGCAGGCTGCTTCGTGGTCTGCTGGACCCCCGGCCTGGTGGTGCTGCTGCTCGACGGCCTGGGCTGTGATAAGTGCCAGGTGCTGCGGGTCGAGAAATACTTCCTGGTGCTGGCAGAGTGCAACTCCTTCGTCAACCCCATCATCTACTGCTTCAGGGACAAAGACATGAGGAGCACCTTCAAAGAAATCCTGACCTGCCTGTGCCGGCGGAGCCAGGACCACAGAGGCCTCTCCGAAGTCCACTTTAGCACCATGGAGCACGAGGTACTGTCTGAGAGCAACGGAGCCGATGACAGCAATCACAAACAAAACAACCACTCGCACTAAAGACAGCCTATGAAATCAGAGCCCCCAAAATCACACTGACTTCAGACAGATGATGAGGAGCCGTTTCCTGTTTGTTTTTTCTTTGATGTCAGACTTTGCTGGACAAATTTTCTTCTTTTGTGGTTTTAGCTTCCCTCATCCATTTTAGCTTAAAAGTGAGTTAACAAAAGAAAACAGTCCAGATGGGGCTTTATTAAGCAAACGTAAAATGTGACCTTCCTGTTTACGCATGCCCTCAGTCAGTTCTGGACACGTGTTGGCGTCAGTCACGTCCTGGTGTCTTTTTTTTTTTTTCATCATGTCAATAAGGCATTTTTTCATTTTTCTTTAGATGACAAAGCTCTAAAACATAATTTTTTTGTCTACCAACATCAGATTTTGAGTTGTTTATGGTGGACATGAACACAACTCAAACAGGCTCTTTAGCTTTGTAGCTGGATTTTAAACTATTCATCGAAGCGCTGTTTGCACAAACACGGGTTTTTGAACAAGCAAGTCGAATGGTCTTTAGAGACCTGTGAAAGTTACTGTATGCGTCAATAGATGTTTGAGGGGGGGGTTGGGTCAGAATATAAAATACCAACCTGGTTAACAAGGCTTCTCCATGTCTGCATGTTGAAGTGCAGATGCATCAGGTTTTTAGGGGGGGCGTCCCGATGATCTGCACAGACCGCACACAGTGAGCCAAAACCTGCATTTCTTGCAGAATAAAAGCCACTGTGCTCAGCAGATGTTGTGTATTAACCAAAGTGGTGTGAATTTCCGAAAAATAAAAACGTAACTGTGTACCAACTTTTACTTTGAATTCAGTAAGCAGGCGCTGTAGGGACTCAGCCGATCTGGTTTGGATTTGTTTCTCTGAACGGAGGAGTTTTCCTTGCGGCGTTGAGTTTTTCTTAAAAAAAGAAAACCATTACAAGAACCCGTGTTTGTGCCGACAGGGCCTAAGACACATCTGACATCCAACTGTGCAGTTGTTGACGTTGTTTGGTCTCATTGCAGAGTCTTTGTTTGGTTTCTTTTAATCTTACAAAAACCACAAGCTGCAAGCGAATCGGTGCTCGGCTCGTTCAAGAGGTGCACAAGCCCACATCGATGAACACACTACATACGCAGCGTGTTTGGAACCCTCGTGTCCTTTTTATACGTGCATTACCTTTTTTTCCACTCTTCTGACTCACTCATGTGAAACTTTCATATGGAAAGGTGACATCCGTATGCACAGTCATATAGCAAGAGCACATGCACGCCCCATTACCACTCATTTTGCAGGAATGAGATGCCTTCTTTTGTTCTGGATGTCAGTGAGGAGTCGGCCTGTCACACAAATAAATGCCGCCACTATCTCAGAGGCTCAGTGATCCCTGCTCACTGTTATCCAGAGGAATAGGCAGGTCCCTTCCTTCCAAGTTAAGGGAAAAGTAAAGCGGTAGGACTAGGAATTTGGACTTGGTTTCAATTCTTGAACGAGCCAAAAAGGTCAACTGACAGGAACACATTTGTCAAAGTTTACCTGTATCTGGGAAATATTGTTGCACTCTGTTCATGTGTTTTTAAGCTTCTGGGAGCAAAGGTTATGGGACTTTATATTTCTGATCAAACCTGTGCAAGGTGCCGTCACGCTCCCTTTTCAATGTGAACTGTCTGTTTTAACTGTACTGTCAGTGCTGCAAGTGCTCCATCTGTCTTTATGGTGCATGTGGGGTTCGTTGCTGCTGCGCTGAGTGGAGGAGTGAGGGGCATGAAATGAAAATGAGGAGCCACGTGGTTAAGCAGCCACAGATAATGCTTCAAATTCGGTTTCATGGTCAAAGAGGCAGGCCTGCAACATCGCAAACATTTCAAGATCGATTCACATCTGGCATTTCCCCCCGCTAAAAGACAAGGTTATCAAAAATAGTGTCAGATTGCTAGTTTTTATCAATTACCAAATCAAGGTAAACTGAGGCTGCATTTCCGGCAGGTTGTGCAGCCAGGTTGTTCGACACCGGTTGTGTGTTTTTTTTTGTTTTGTTTTTTCAGTCTGCAGTCATGTTTCCGTCAGGGTTCTCGCTAGCTACATTTTGCATGAAATATTTGCTGGAACATTTTCTGCTGCTCGACACGCTGTAGTTAAAGATACAGCGTACTCAGATTGGGCTCTTGGATATGTCCTCTCTGGCTGAGGAGTGTCACATTTTCATACTGAAGTTGAAATTTGTGGCTTAAACATTTTTGGGTGTAATTTTTAGACGACCCCCCCCCCCCCCCCCCGATGCACCTGCTACTTCCCCCCTGTGTTGTCTGCAGCACCTTCACCACATTCTAGCTTCTGCCTTTACTTGAGCGCAAGTACTATTTTTGGAAATTTTCTCCAGCCGCGTGAGCTGATTTTTGTCTCACGGCAGCCGTGTTCGCTAATGGCTTTTCTTCATGTTTGTGCAGATAGTCTACTTCTGCGCTCAACACCCGTCCCAGTATCCATGCAAAATATAATTCAAGGCATATGCATGCAAGTCCAGGAAAGAAGTCAAACTTTCCATGAGGCAAAGTTTTGCAAAACATCAAGAAGTGACCTTGATCAGACTCCTCCGATCTCATAAAACAAGCCCTTAATGGCCCCAGTGCCTCGCGCTATAAACAGACTTCTTTTTTGGAATAACCCAGATGCCTGGAATCGTACCGTTGCCCCCCCCCCCCAAGCTGTTGCTCAGTTTATTGTGACCGCAGTATTTGTGCCTCTTCAGTGCAGCATGTTGGTGTGTGCGTCTTAGGTTGTGTGCTTGTGTTGTGAAGCCTTAAGCCTGTCCAGATGCATGCCGGCGGATAGCGCGGTCATGCTTTCTTTTTCTTTTGCCACATTTCCTCTGACTCGTTACTCTGGCATGTGTCTATGTTGGAATTGTGCACTGACACACACACTCACCCACAGGAAGTGCAGTCACGAGTATCTCGTATGTGTGCACTTGTGTATTTGAGAGAGCAGGGAATCATTGTTTTCCATGTTTTGTTTTTGACATTAAAAGATCAAAAGGGAAGTTTGCGCGCGAAGGAGGGCGGGACTGAGAGCCTTTGTCCTTACTCTGTTTTGATAATGAAATGCAGAGAGGCGTGTAATTAAAAGAAAGCTAAACCTTTTATTGATGAGGGCAAATCATTACCTGTGTGTATCTTTAAAGGGAATTCCATTACAGCAAGATATTTAATGGGTGACTATGTATTCCATTGAAACTATTTGTCCTTAGCTTGCAAATGATTAATTGTTTAACACTTAATTTCCATTTATAGGAATACTTTTAGTATCATTCAGTTCAGAAACATTTTCATCATATTTGGGGTTTATTTTTGTACAAACATTGTTATAATTAATGAGAATAAATGCACAATCTGACCACATGCTGTTTGTTTGGACCAGTGTGTCTGCTTTCCCCTGCGACAGCCTCCTCGTTTTAACCGGTCAAACGCGACTAACTACAGTAATGGGTTTCATATCTTTTTCTCTCGGCACATTTGGGTCTTTTTTTTTTTTTCATTTTGGACATGACTAACCCGCTCTACCTTGTTTTCCCATCAATCTAATCCCAACTCTTTTTTTTTTTCTCCCCTTTTCCTGATTTCAACTTTCTGCTCATACTCTCATCTGTTTCTCCAACACTGTTTGTAGAGGTCTATGCGTACAATCCGGAGGGTAGACGAGAGCAACGGGGTACCTCTCATTCACAAAGGCTCCGAGGACATCCCTGCTTCTTCGGAGAAGTGGAGTTAAAGTCACTGGGAGACATCACCCACATCGGACAGTTGAATGAACACGCTTCCAGGTGTCTCAGCAGACTAACCAGACTCAAAAAGAGTTTTTTTTTGTGTTTTTTTTTAACCTGCACTGATGGAGGACAGAAGTTACTCTGTCAGCGCCCGGTAAACCAAAAGGGAAAGAACTGACATTAGAACTCCATCCTGATGGCAGATGTTGCTCCATAATCAGGCTTCAGCACATGGAAGGAGACCACCCCAAGCTATTGGACCAAAGAGATGGGAGCAGAAGAACACCTGGAACAAGTTGACAGCGCGCAGAGGAAATGACTGAATGTGTTTTGTGTGTATTGGGCTCTGCTGTGCGGCCGTGTGTGTAGACGTCCCATCTGTGGCCAGATGGTCAGGTAAGCCCGGCCCGAAATCCCCCAGATGCAAGATGTCCCAGTAAGCGTAAGGAAACCCAGGTCGCAGTGAAACCTCTCTTGTTCAGCGTTTTTTTTTTTTTGCTGAAACCGTTTCAGGCTGCTAGGACTCGGCTGTACGGTCGGAGGCGTCCTGGTCGCGTGGTGACTCAGATCTTTGGGCACGCAATGAGGGACGACGCACATTTCATATGGTTTTCCCCGAATTGGTTCAACCAGTTTCCACAGAAGCTCACCACTGACAACGAAACTGAGGGGTTGAACGGCAGAACTGTCAGCAGAGTGCAGGTCTGGTAGAAGAAAATGAAATGTAAGCCAGGTCTCTTTGACTGTTTTAAATGGTTAAATTGGCAACAGATCACATAAAATAATTTAAACGCCTAAACCCTTTTATTTAGGGAAACTCTACTTTGGGAATAATTACAATATTAACTGATTTGTTGATTAGTTCTGATCCATTAACTGTACACTTTGGGTAAGCAACTCATGGACAGGTTTGTCAAAAAAAAAAATCTAACTTTTAGAAATGCTGCCGCTGCTTTCTTACTTGAAAACCTTTAAAGTCCAGACATTTGTTTATGTCCTGGTCAGCTATGTTAATTTAAAGGTTAATTTAATTTTTTATTAGTGATCACTGCATATCCGTCCCGTCATTGCTGTGATTCTCTATGATCTGAAAGGCAAATCTTCCTTTTTTTCTTATCTAGCATCTGCCACCAGTCCAGCTGTAATCCCCTACATTTTCTGTGTATTTATGATAAATTGCATTCCAAAGTCGATGGATCCCTCACATGCCACTTTTTTTTAATTTTAAATAAGCTTTAAGAACATATGGCAGAAACTTGAATAGAAATAAATCTGATCAGAATAGTAGAGAAGGCTGCAAATTCATGTTCAAATAGTTTACAGCACAGTGAGGCCAAAGGCCTGTACAGTCGGACTCTGTCTAAACCTTTTCATCTGTTCAGAATCTCTATAAACGCTTACAAAGTGCTTCTTCAAATGAGTTTTGTGCCAATCAGAATCATCCTCTTAAGCTGAACAGGGAACATCTTCCAGCTCTTTTTACCCTATTATTTTTAACCAGGCAATCATAAATACGGGTGTAGAAATAAGTGGATGTTCCTGGACCTGCCATGTTTATTTTATTGTATGATCTTTAATATTTTTTCACAATCACATATTTTATAAGCTGCTTTCCTCTTGGATCTTTTTTTTTGTCTTTGTGACGCACATTATTTGCTGGACAGTTATTTTATTTATAATTGTGATGATTTAGGTATCAAATGGATTATCTGGTGTAGTCACTCAGACGTGCCAGAGGCAAACCACTGTTGTTTTAGCTTTTAATGCTCTGTAAAGCACAAGTGAGCAGAAAGGACAAGTAAGTGGGAGAGGTAATGGAGCCTAAATACAGCGCGGCTAATTTCTGTCAACATCCTGGAAAACTGACCTTATTGTTATCGAACAGGAAACCTGTTATGGTAGCAGTTCACAAAAACGACATTAAAAGCTTTGAGTCCTCGTGTCTGTCTGTCGTTTGGCTTCTTCTCCACATGATTTTTTTTTTCTCCTCTCAACTCTGTCTGTTGGTTTTGGATCCAATTTGACGAGTGGATCTTAAGATGTCTTTCAGTTTCTTTTTAGACGTTTTATCCACGTTGACTTCCTTCAGGTCCACCGGCGGAGGAGCCGCCCCAGGTTGGCCATCCAGCTCTTTTTTGTTTTCTGGAGTGAACTTCTTTCTTATCTGCTCCCTGAACCGGTCCAGTCCCCCTTTGTCGTTTTCCTTCCTTCCTACAGAGCCATCCTGAACAGAATCCTTCCTTATGTTACCCAGAGAGAGTCTCTTCAGCGGCGTTGAGGATTTCTTGTCTGTCGTCAGGGAGAATCTCTTTTGGGAATGCTTGTCCTTCTTTGTTTTGCTTGGGTTCAGCCTCTGCAGAATGCTCTTTCTCTTGCTTTTCTTTTTGGGTAGCGCCCTCTTCAGTTGACTGAAGGCTTTGTTCACAGGTGACTTCTTCTTCTTCTTCTTTTTCCAAAAGAAGACCTTTTGCAAGGAGGAGCCACTCATAGCGACTTGACCTGCGAGTGGAGGAGAAATCTGTTCAACAAGACTCTTTTTGTTTGTTTTTGTTTAAGAGCAAAGTTGGATCATGTCAGGACTTGGAAATGTTTTTTGTGGCTTGAGTGTTATTAGAATTTAACATCTTCCTGTTTTTTTAAAATCAGAGAAAGATGTCAAAGGCAAAATAAATGAGTACACAATTAACTATAGATTTATTCTTAAATTCTGAGGTCTGAAAAAGACATCAGTATTCCTATGCTGATTTAGGAGATAATACCACTTTGAAGCTATACAATAAGATTTAAGCTTGAAGAAGGAATATTCAAATATAAATAATCAGCAGAACTACTGTAAACAAATGAAAATGCCCTAGAAAGATCCCAACCTGGCCAAAACATGTCTATAGTAATTAAAGAAAAGCATTTGTTTAAATTACCGTGCTGATATGTGGCCCTTACTGTTGTCAAATCCTCTTTGTCAAATCGGAGCAACAACTCTTCCGTGCCTGGCGTCCTCTGTTCTAAAAGTCCCTCTGCCCGCGAGCGTTCTTCCCTTTTCTGTCATGGGAGGTATCTGAAGGAACAGCTGGTTCTAGTTTCACCATCTGCCCAGTATCTAATGGAAAGATCTGCTGTAAGGCATCAAAACCTGTTTCCTTCCAGGGTTTTCACCCTTTGCAGTAATGCACCAATAACAAAAGGAACTAACTGGAAGATTAAACTGGTCGAGTGGCATTCTCCAAGCCTGCCGTCGCTCAGTTTCTCCATTCCTCAAGAAGCATTTCAAATGTAGACCGATCTTGCGATGCACTACATTCTAAAACGAGCAGTTTTTAACAAATGAGTTGAAAAGCTTTGCTCAAAGCTGTCACAGTATCTGATGTTTCTCAGTTTTCTTTGTCATGGACAGTGAACCACAGAGGGAAAAAAAGCATTTCTGCCCAAACAGGTGAGATGACGAGCCAACAAGGAACACTGTAGGTAAAAAAATAGCTCCTTACTGGAAAGTGACAAAAGGCCTGCCCAGGTTATGTAACCAAAGTGTCACATGACTAAAAACTGCAAGTCAGATTCGGTGGACACAAAGACATGTCAAACTGACCAGGAATACAGACACAGATAATGAAAAGCCCAATCTAAGAGTACAAATGACTGAAAATAACCAGCAGGTTCAAATAAAATGCCTACAAAGAAATGCCCAAAACCATAATGAGACAAATAACTGGACCTGAAGAGATGTGAAGAGACCAACAACTGCAAAATGACAAACAACCATGAAGATCAGCACCAAGACACAAAACAACCCGTTTAGGACCCAAACTGACGACAGCAAAAAGACGAACTGCTGTGGTGACATGCCATGAAAGAGGGTTAATCAGCAGAAAATTCTCCATGGAGAGACCACAAATAGACGTTAAGTAAAAACATGCCCAAATGTTTTGAGAACGGGGCTAGATGTCTGATTACACACAGCTGGAGACCGTGTTGGTCCTGGTCTTCTGAGGGACTGAAGAGGTTCTGAGTCCATAAACCAATACAGGTTAATATTTCATTATAAAACTAATTCAGACCCTCACAAACTTGTAAAAAAAAACTTTAGAAAAATAATCTTTTTTCTATTTCAAAACTGAATCTGAGTGTTCGAGATGAGGCCTTGCTCGTGGGCCCCTCCACGTGGAGGAATTGCGCTGTTGCGGATTTTCTGGCCCGGACTGGAACGGCTCTGGTGGAGGGGCGCCTCTCTACATCCGTGTTTCTGAACACAAACTGGACACTCTCAGGACCGGAGAGGCGAACGCGAAAGTTCTGAGTCACATTTTGGGCTCGTGACGCGCCGGGAGGCCAGCGTTCGGTCATACCAACATCATACGCATGCGCAAACCGTCCGTCAGATTTGCATATACGTATGTCACATCACCAGACATTTAGCACAAATTAAAAAGAATAACACACAAGAAGTCTACTAGGCGCCTTTATTTGTGCGTGATATGACAAACAAAAGGTTGTAGTTGAAAGTGAGCACACGAACTAAACCAGAAAAGCATACCGAAAGTCAAGTAGGCCAGTTTATGTAGCCTATGCGTGATGCAAGAAACGAAAACTTTTAGTCGGAGGTAAACAGAATTTAAAGCTAAACTGCTTTAAACGCAGACAGACCCGTTTTTCTTTGTTAGCTACTTGACACCCTGACGTGGCAGCTGTCAGGTGTTCATACAACGGCTAAGTGACAGTTTTTTGGCACAAGTGAGTCCTTTTTATTCACCCTTCACCAGCACGTAAATCTCGCTTCGAAAACCTTAATTGTCTATTCCGAATGGCATCTTGTGAATTTGTAGCCTGTGTCTACATCACCGGGCCCTCCTCCTCCTGCCTCCTCCCTCCTCCCCTCTCCTCCCTCCTCCTCCTCCCTCCTCCTCCTCGCATTTCCCGGCTCGGTGCTGCTGCTGCTGCTCGTGGCTCCGCGGCAGAGCGCGGCCATGGTGGACTCTCCCGGCGCGGCCAGGAAGAAGAACGCCTCCTCGGTGCCGGAGATCAGGCCGCTTCACCAGTATGACTTCAGCCGGGCCAAGATCCGCGCCAGCGTCCGGTGGCTGCTGGCGAAATCCTACGGCTCTGCAGGTACACTCCGGCCTCTCTCCCCCCTCTCCCCACCTCCCCCCCCCCCCCCCCCCCCCCCCCACCTCTCGCATCAGCACCAGCGGCCGGATGGGTGATGGGTGGGGCCGCACTGCTTCCAGGCGGCTCCGGCTCGTGTTTTCTATGTTTGACGTCCATGGGGGAAGCTCGAGCATCCCTCTGGATGCATCAGCCACCGGCCCTGGTGCTCGCAGTCAACCTGCACGCCCCCACGGGTGGGTGGGTGGGTGGTGATGGGAGGGGGTGGGGGTGCTGCTTACTTAACACTAAGGAGGATTTTCGGCTCGTTATTTGACGCAAACATGAGGCATGTCAGAAGGAATTTCCTCGGCTGTCACCGGGACAAAAGCCTTTTTTCAGAGCATGGGCTCCACCGGGGCCCGTGGACGAATGTCCAGCAGACAGAGAGAGACAATGGACCAGGAGAGAGGGGACATCGCTTTTAGCTGCTGAGGAAAATGCAGCCTGGGGTGGACGTAAATGGGTCAGGGCCACATGATATTCGTGTCAGTGTTACGCGCGCACGCCGTGCTCGTGGTGCGCAGCAGGATAGTGAAGGTGACACATAGCTCCTATAAGACAATGGAATGGTTTTTAGAAGCAGCTACATCTGTTCAGCGATTAGCTGCAGGCTTTGTCTCTGTGTGTGTGTATGTGTGTGTGTGTGTATCTCAGGTCCAACGCAGTTTTATAGCAGGAATCCATCAGTCCATGAGCCTTCACATCCCTAGCAGGCACAAAATGAACTCACACTTTCACATTAGTCTACTGAAGAGAAGGATAGTTTTATTTTCAGCTTTTGGTGACTTAAGATTTGAACAATATTGAGTCATCTATTTGACTTAATGACTTATTTAAGGAGTCATTAGATGTGGATGACATCATTCTTCTTGGTGTTTCCACTTGGGGCAGCAATCATTGATTGTGCTCAATTTGGGGAAGAAAAAAAAAATCTTTATTTCAACAGCACTGATTCCTCCTATGGTCAAGCTGTGCTGTCGTTATGGCTCCTGGGAGATCTTCGTCCTAATCCGTCGGCTGGAAAAGGCCCTCTGGATCCCTCTTTAGATTTTGAATGGAACCCTGGTGGATATATCACTGACAGGGCCGTGGTTAAGAACCAATTCCTCCATTGTATTTGCTCTCCTCTGCCCTAGGGGCAGCCGCAGGCCCACCCCTGTCCAAACTGACGCTGAGACTGAGGCCACGTCAAAATCAGAGCTGCTTTGGTGTGTCAGTGACAGAGATGTTGTCGGTACATGACAGCAGCGTTACCTTCCCACAGCTGATCGGTGCTGTACGGTACCAAGAGCAGCTTATTATCAAGAATAGAATTAGATTCAAAGTGCCATAAAAGGAGTTCTTGCGATTTCAAGAGCCTGCTCCCAACCTCCAGACCTCGTTCTGCCTCCCTCCTGTTTAGCCTCACAGGCCTGCCCTGTTTGTTCTGATGGAATCAGTGTTCTGTTAGGTCGTGTTGCCCGGTCCTGTTCTGCAGTCCTGTCTCACTGCCTCTGCTGTGATGGGGACAAATGGCTGCATTTCTTCCGTTCCCATAGCGACGGCAGCCCTCGGGTTCCCCCGGCGCAGCAACGGGGAAGGCGAGGGGTTCAGCCCCCCCGGTAGGCGTCGGACTGCAGTGCAGTGTGAGGCTGAACTCTAGTCGAAGCAGCGATGTGGATAGATTTTGTCCTCTCCTCTCAGCGTTATGCGGAAAAGGGACCAGGGGACGAGAGGAAGGAGTTACATAAAAAAACAAAAACGTCTCAACTGTGACTTACAGGGTTCAGAAAGAAAGCGGTGGTATCCCTCACGGCATGTCATAGTTAGAGGTTTGTGCGTGTAAAGAGGCATGAAAAAAAGGGGGAAAACAGAGCGACTGTGAGTGGGAGGGATGTCAACTCTGATCTTTTCTTTTGGAAGTCCTTTTCCAATTTTCCGGATTATGCAGAGCGGGAATATAGGTCAGCCATGGAAGTGTGGGTTGTTGTGTGTGTGTGTGTGCGTCTAGGACATGACCCACTCCTCTTGGACCGACTTGACATGCTCTGGGTAACTTAGCCGGGTAACTGAGCTGTTCATGCAGATGATGACATTATCGTCTCCTACAGTCCAGTCAGAAACTGCGAGTGATTTCTCGTTTGGTGAAAATGACTTCAGGTTCAGCTGAAAAGTTTTTCTAGGTGGGACAATTCTTCGGCAAAATGAATTATTTTAAGTAGAGTAAGACAAGGCAGTTCTCTCTAATAGCTGAAGGAAGGCAAAAAAACAGTTATCCTCTCGTACACCTCAGTCAGCCCTTCAGTGGGATAGGATTCATACTCAGATAACATGTAGGCTTGGAGGGAATGCCAGGAGGTGGCAGGCAGAGTGACACATAAGAGATAAGCAATCCTTCACACTCACTCATAGAATGAATCCTCAGAATCAACCAGTCAACCCACACTAACTTGCATAACTTTGAATGGAGGATCTAGAGAGAGCTAGTGTATGCACGGGACCCTCTGACTCCACACGGAAAGACCCCATCCGGGATTCAAACCCAGAATGTGATAACGCCACGCATCCTCCCAGCTTTGAAACGGCAAAAATGATCCCGCCTCCTCCACGCCACCGCCTGGTTTTAGCGTAACCCATCCAGCTCTGCACACACAGGCAGGTCATTCCCATCTCTTTTTCTTCCAGAAAACGTTCCCGTGGAGCTCCGAGAGCCGCTTTACAAGGACCAGTACGAGCAAGAGCACCTCAAGCCGTCAGTCTGCAAGCTGCTCCTCTCCCCAGAGGTCTACTGCCGGGTGCAGGCCCTGCTGACGCAGGCTCAGGGGGCCTCGCTGCCCACGCCGCAGGGGCCCCCGGCAGACAACTCCGCCCTGCTGCAGCTCCTCACCAAGAAAGGCTTCGCTCCGAAGGTCCAGGACGCGGATGTCACCGAAGAGGACCTTTGTTACAGCCCCATCAAGACGGTGAGCGTCCGTGTGAGGTCCAAAGGCTTTAGACAGCTTCACCAGTCCACTGCATGCCTGCTTAACCCTCATGTGATACATACAAATAAAAACAAAGCAAAATTAGTGTTTTTAAATGAGAGGTGAGAAAAGAAAGAAGGATGGAGGACAGTCTTTTGGATAGTCTTCTATACGAGCGTGTCGCCTAGGTGCTATTTGTTCATCTTAGAAACAACAAAAAGGCTAGACCATGCTGGAAGTCTGACCCTTTAATCTCTTGACAAATTGCCTTCCGTCCTTCCCCGAGGTGCTAAAAGTGTTCCCCTTTTGTCCCATTGGTGTAGAAAGCCCATCTGGCCCTCATCGACTCGCTCATGTCGCTGGCTGCCAAGGAGACCGTGGGTCACGTCAAGATGGCGGCGGAGGCGGAGCAGATTGGTGTCGGGGCTCCATGGGAGAACGCTCTGCTCTTCTGGGTCAACAGGGTGAGGCCAAAAAACAACTGGACAACTGTGCTAATGTCCACCGACGGCCGACTGCCTCTGTCACCTCAGGCCGCCAGTCACTGCAACTTAAAGAGCGACTGAGCCTTCAATATGTAGAATGACATTATTTGTTTTATACAATACATTCAAACATTTCTATATCAGTGACATAAACCTCAGAAAACAGTTAATGAAGCCTGAAATAAGATACAACTCTTATCTTATTTTCTGTCAGCAGAAACCAGACGTATCTGTATTGTTTGAACATTTTTGCCTCCAAATCACTAATGTGATTATGGAGATTTGTGGATATACCGTGAAGACCACGTGACTGGACTAGTTGCTGTTCTCCAGAGCACTGCAGCTCGTCTCCATCACATATCTGTGATTCAAGTCGAGCAACAGAAGCCACAATTGGACTATATTTCACATTTGATTACATTTGCATTGAGTCCCAACCTTGAAAATGATGCAATTGTACCTATTGTCTGTGCTATAAATTGTGAATCTGGGTTCACATGGATGTAAACTTTAATGTTGCCTGTCATTCTGACAAGTGATCTGCCATGAAAATTGCTTTTTGGATTTTCTAACCCAACTTTCCTCCTGCATTTTCAGTTAAACCAGAAATTGAGAGAAAGTACAGAAGAAGAGGAAGAACCCCCCAAGTCAAAGACGTGCACAGACCTGCAGCCTCTTCAGGAATCGGTATAAAAAAAACCTCCTGTGCACACAGGCCTACAGACACCTCGTTTTATTAACAGCATTTTTGTGCCCTTAACCGTAACTAACCCTTACTACTCAAATGAATTCCTCACCCATCCCTGAATATGAATGAATGTTGGGCCTTGAAAGAAAATCTAAAGAAGTGTCCATTCTCTTTAAGTGCCCAACAGAATGAAAACCATAATAAGTCTACTAATCCGCACGGCATCCGTCACACCACTGTGCGGCGTCGCTGTGACGCCACGGCTTCTAATACCAGCCTCGCTCTGCTTCTCTGTTTCTCCCCCTGGTTTGCCTCTGTCCCCCCTCTCTGGCAGTGTCAGTCCACCCGCTGGTACTGGAAGCTAGTCCCTGTAAGTGCACTCCTTTTCTTGGCTCTTCTCTTCCCTGTGTGTCCGTGTGCTATGGCTGATGTTACTGTGCCTGCTGGAGATGCCACACACACACACACACACACATACACACACTTCTTATCCGTTCCTCATGTGAAAAGCGCCTGAAAGCAGGACGGTTCTGTCGCCGCCTCTGCCGCAGGACGCCATCAGATGCCGCACATGTCCAGTTGTTATCAAATGACGATATTTTTGGAAACTGTTATTGGTTTTTCTGAAAGTTTAATCTCGAAGCGCACAGGTAAAGGGATGTTGGAGAGAAGCGTTTTCAGTGGCTCCCAAAAGACCGACATACCTCTGTTGTTTGTCCCCTTCCTCTTCCTCCTCCTCCTTCTCCTCCTCCTCTTCCCCCTCCTCCTCTTCCCCCTCCTCCTCCTCCGCCGCTCCTCTCTCCCCGAGCAGAGCCATGTTGTGACTTTGTGCTGTGGCGGTTCCCATGATGACTGGCCCCCTTGTCATTTATGCCTGTTTCCCTCTCTCTGCCACCCCCCCCTCCCTCTCCATTCCAGCATGCTATCGCTTTTTGTTTGAAGGAATCGGGGAATAAGCCGCCAGTGGTAACGTATAACATCTTGCTCTTGTCTCACCCCCATCCTCTCCCCCCCCTCGTCTCCCGTAGCGATGCCACAGACTAACCGATAGACTGATCAATTGCCGCACCACATCCACACCCACGCTTCCAGCCCCATCATTGACCGACTGACCGCAGACTAATCGTCACTCCGGCCCCCCGAGGCTGGGTGCATCTGTTTGAGCCCGTCACTTTTTCCTTCACTGATCAGAAGCAAAGGCTCACGGTGTCAGCGGGTCATGCTGCTGCTGCATGGGCACCGGAGGACAAATGTCATTGTCACTTATATTTTGCCACCCAAAGCTTTCTTTTCATTGTAGTTGTGTGTTTGGTGTTTTAAGCTTTGCACTGCACCGGCTGGTTGGTGTTTGTATGTGTGTGGAGATGTTTATTGATGGAGCCACTGTTGCTCTTGTGCTTTCCACTGATTTCATTATTTCTGCAACTTGGCTTAACCCTGTACGGCCCTGGCTGGCTCTAAATTGGCTTTTGCTGCTTTTAGGTCTATTTTGTTCCCCTTAAAAGTGGTTGGTAGTTGAACATAACCCTTCCTATTTATTTTCACACCTGCCGCACATCTCACAGCCTCTCTGATTCTTTTGCTTTTTCCAGTCTGTCAAGTCTTACTGTTTCCACTTCCTCCTCCCTCCCTGTAGATCCGCTATAGGAAGGACAAGGTCCAGTCCAAGCTGACTCCCACTTTTCCTCTGGTCTCGGCGGTCAAAGATCTGTCGAACGGCTGCGCTGTCGCTGCTGTGTTGCATTACTACTGCCCCGGCCTGCTGCCTCTCGAGGGTACACACACAAACCTGAACACACAGGCAGAAACACCCGAACACAGGCCGGCCAAACGCTTACGAAGCGCGTAAATGATCCCAGTAAACCACAAATGAGGCGTCTCGAATCCACGATTTCTCTGCAGCGCCTCGGATTCTGCTGCAGATTCTCGTGAGAGCAGCAGAGTTTTCCCTTCGTTTGACAACTTGCTGCACAGGCCGACGGGCTCAGACGCACGCACAGACGCCACAGGCTGCATTGTAAAAGCTGCCTTTATTTGCTTTGTTTAGATGTGTGTCTGAAGGACACGATGTCAGTGGCTGACAGTGTCTACAACCTGCAGCTCATCAAAGAGTTCTGCGCCAGCAGCTTACAGAGCTGCTGCCCCCTCGCCGTGGAAGACCTCCTCTACGCTCCACCGGCCCTACACGTAGGGAGAATGAGCTCTGATTCGACCCTGTAGATAGTCCACACCGATGTGTTAATGCATGTGCACAACTGTTTAAAAAAGAAGCGGCTTTTAGCTCAATAATAGGTTAGACAGCAGTTATATCCACCACTCCAGTGTGGTGCGGTGGGTTCAGAGTCACCCTAACCTGCTCTTTTCCTCAGCTAAACATCATGAGCTTCGTAGCGGAGCTGTTAGAGTGGTTCGAGGTGAAGAAGCCGGATTTTATCAAGCCAGTGCAACCCATTGACCTGACAGGTTTGTGAATTTGGTGCAATAAAGAGCCGCCCGCCGCTGTTGTTTTGCCGGCACTTGTTTGCAGAAATCCATTTCACAGATTAACACAGTGACACAGAAATGCTTCTGGATCTTTCAGATGTCTCTGGATTGCTTGACTGCACAAGTCCCGTCAGCGGGAACAGCAACAGGTACCAGACTGCCATCAAAACCCCACACGTGATAAGTCAGGCCGAACCAGACGAAGGCTAAAAAATGCAGCAATAAAGCAAAATGTGAAATTCTGGCAGATGACCTTCTGTCCTGTTTTTCAGCGGCTGTCCTTCTTTCATCTTCAAACAACCTTTTGTGCCCATCTCCTCCCCGGTTTCTCCAGGTAGTATGAAAGCATCTTTACAACGCATCTGACTCCAATTAAGAATCCCGTTGAATTGTATTGATCTGTTTTTGCTTGCCCCTGCAGAAAATAAAAGCTGGACAAAGAAACAGATCAGGTAGATGACTCTGAAAATGTGCGGTTCTTATCGTAAATGTTGTGGTGCGTTCACCTTTTGATTTCTTGATCTTCTCACTTTGCTTCTGTGGTTTCTGCTTCTCGCTGGCATCCGTCTGTCCGTCTCTCTGTCCGTCGCCCGCCTCTCCGCAGTCGTCCTCTGTCGGCAGTGACTTTCAGCATTCCATTTGGCCTGGACAGTGATGTTGACATTGTCATGGGAAACCCAATAGCTTCTGTCTTTCGCTCCGTCAGCACTGACAACCTCGCCACCGCCGTGCCCGCCATGGCCTCGCCGGCATCGGCGGCCGGGATGACCCATGTCCCGTACAGCCCCCCCGAGGACCTGAGCCACCTGGTCAGCGCGTCGGCGCCGCCGCGGCGCTCGTCCTGGGCTCCCTACTTGCACAACGCGCCGCTGGGAGACCTGCCCACCATCGAGGAGGCGCTGCAGGCGGTCCCCACGCCGGGCGGCAAAGACCGGAAAAAGGGGCGGCCGGCTGAGAGAAGTGGGAAAGGAGTGCCGACGGGCAGGCCGGAGCCCAGGCTGCGCCCCGAGGGGGCGCCGGCGGGGTTTTTTCTGCACTGCCCCGATGAGAAGGACCCCCCACTCAGCAGCTCGGCTCCCTGTCGCTCAGCGGGCCTCCACAGGCCGGTCGGCGGGGCGGGCGAGGATGCGGAGAGGGCCGGCCGGAGGGACAGAGCGGGCCAGGGCGCCGACACATCCCGCGATGACGACTCGGTCCTACGGGACGGCAGCATCGACTCCTCCGAGGCGTCGGACGACGCGCCGAGAAACGCGCCCGGCAACATCCGGCCCGGTGGCGGCGGCCGCCCGGGAAACCACGGCACCCACGGCAGCCCGCGCATGACCAGCTTCGCCGAGCGACGGGACAGCCGTAGGAGAAACCCCGCAGCTCCCGGCGAAGAGGCGGCCTCCTCCCCAACCCCGTCTACCCCGGGTACTCCGCACACTCCCTCCACGCCGGCCGGAGCCTCGGGTCACCAGGGAAGCCCGGGCCCACGAGGCCCCGAGCCGGGCTCCGAGGCCTGGGAGCTGGGAGCCCGCCTGGAGGAGAAACGCAAAAGCATCGAGGCTCAGAAAAGACGCATCGAGGCCATTTTTGCCAAGCACAGACAGAGACTGGGAAAAACGGCTTTCCTTCAGCTGAAGAGAGAGAGAGGGGAAGGAGGACTGGAGGGAGCAGAGGAGGACGAGCTGACCCTGGAGGAGCGTCTCACTCACATGGAAGAACAGCTTCAAAAGGCAGAGGAAAAAGAGGGGAAGGAGAACGAGACGGAGAAGCCACCCGCTTCCAACCCTCCTCGGTTGGAGAAGCAGGTCACGTTCTCCGTCGAAAGCAAGAGAGGAGCCGAGAAAGCGGGCGAAGCCGCCATAGTGGAATGTAACGAAGTGGTGCAGAAGCTGAGTGAAGCTCTGCAGGCCCTGCAGAAGGACATGCAGAAGCTCACGGAGCAGCAGCAGCAGCTCATGAGCAGCCCAAAACCCAGAAACGCTGCCAAAACCCCCCCACAGTCTGCGCCCAGAACCAGCACCAAAACCGCTCCCAAGACCCCCCCTCGCACCCCCACCAAAACCCCGCCCAGGACCCCGACCAGGACCCCTACCAGGAGCAACGGTAAAGCCTGGCTGATTCCCACCGGGCCCGACCCCCCCCCCGCCTCCTCTCCGTCGCGGCGCTCTCACGTTCCTCCTTCTTCCACCTCCCCGAAAACCATAATGTCCTCCTCTTGCCCAGCTCCCCGAACTAAGATTCACTCCTCCTCCAGTCCTCGCAGCCCCAAACGCGGCCCGCGGGCCCAGCCCCCGCCCCACCCGCGGCCCTCCGAGCTCAAGTTCCCTCCCCTGCACCGCGTCCTGGCGCCGGCCCACAACGTGGACACGCTCCCGCACCTGCGGCGCGTCTCTCCCAGCAAGTGTCAGGTCCAGACCTCCTCGTCCTTCCGCATCGGCGGGCCCCGGACCCCCCAGGAGTCCCCTCGGCCCGCCCAGCGGCCGCCGCCGCCGGCGCCGGCCGACGAGGGCGCCTCAGACACGGGCTCCAGCGGAACGCCCACCCAGTTCAGCCTGGAGCTGGAGCAGGAGGACGGGGAGGCGGTGGGGGGGCTGCCGGTCTTCCCGCCGTTCAGGCCGGAGCCCCCGCGGGGGGGCAGCTCCGGCGCTCCCTCCGAGTGCTCCTTCGAGAGCGACACCTTGTCCCTGTCGGCGGCCTTCAGCGCGGGGGGGGCCGACGGGGGGAGGCTGGCCGGAAAGGCCTGCGGCCTCCTCGAGGCCTCGCTGTCGTCCGTCGGAGGGCCGCCGGGGGGCAGCGACGAGCCCACCGACGAGGGCCAGGAGTTTTCCTCGGACTCTATGAGCGACCACACAGAATCTGCCAGAGCAGCCTCCGCGGGGCCCCTGGAGCACATGGACGTGTCCCCCGACCTGGCTGCGGAAGGCGGAGACCGGCCAGAACAGCTGACCGAACCCAAAGAGGAGAACATGACACGCGCTGAGATCCCTGAGCCAGGCAGAGAGCAGAATGAGCCCGGGACCCGGGGAGGGATCGGATTCTTCTTCAAGGTGCGTGTTAGAAAGGTCGTAGGTGAGAAAACAGGACACACAACCTTCCATAAAGCATCAAAACAAAACCGAACTAATGCGTGGACTGGTTGTTTTGTTGGTTTTTGCAGGAGGAGGTTGGCAGTGAGGGGGAGATGGCCCAGCGTAAAGCGCTGCTGCTGGAAAGACAGCAGAGGAGGACGGAAGAGTTGAAGAGGAGGAGACAGTGGCACGAGCAAGAAAGGGAAAACAGGTGACACACACACACGCACACACACACACACACATAAACAGCTTTTCACATCCAAACTTGAGTCTTTCAGTCGTCCAAAGCATGCCTAAAAGCGACCTTACTCCTCTCGGCCGGTTTCAGATCGGCGTCCTCAGACAGGAGAGGAGCGTCTCCCTCCGGCACCCCCCCTGCGGGCATGGCCTCGTCCTCCCCGACCCCCCCGGCGACCCCGGTCCGCCGCGACGATTTCACCCGAGGGGAGTACGCACGGCGGCACCAGCTGCGCATCATGGAGGACCTGGACAAAGTCCTGCGCCAGAAGTCCGGCAGTCGGCCGGCGGCTAAAAAGGGCCGCTCACGGCCCCGCAGCATGACCAGGGAGGAGAGACAGCTGTCTCTGAGTCCCGCCAAAGGAGCAGTCGGTAAAATCAAACAAGCCACTCAACTTTGTGGGATATTTGCTTTATATTTGATTTCATTCAATTGTAACGCTTGAACGTATATGTCCTCAGGCTCCAAGTTGACTAAAGTCTACTCCCACTCCTCACTCAACCTGGCCGCCACAGATGAGCCAGGAAACAGTGATCATGACACCACAAAGAAACCACAGAGGTACACTGGTGTGCAGGCCACTTCCACGTTTCTACTCTCACTATGTTTTCCCAGTGGTTTATTACACTTCGACAGTATTTGATCAGCACTGAGCCAAAATCTGGATGCAGTCTCAGTCTCTCAGATCGTTTCACGTAAACTGCGGCCTGCTTTTTTCTTTGTGTTTTAGATTTTTTGTTTCTGTGGAGTTCTGCTCACGGCATTTCAGTCCGCTTTAGGGCTCTTTTCTATTCAATTTGTGGCTGCATTAAGGATTATTGGCCACACATCTTTCAGTTTGATGTTATTCTGAAAAAGGGGGTGTTACTATGGTGGATAGTACTATAAGTTAGTGTTATTACAGCCCTATGCTTAAATGGCGAGCTGTTTTTTTAAAGTATTATTCCACTTTTTGCTCACTATCCTACATTAAATCCAGACTAATGAGGGGAAGACTCACTGGTTTATCGTTTGCTGTCTCTCCAGCAGTCGTCTTGCTTCCCCTTCCCGAGGAGTGACATCGACCAGACTGGCCAACCAGAATGGAGACAAGGACTGGGAGTCTGGTTCCAATGGAAACTCCCCCGCCCCAGAGTACACAGGTGCACTAGCTCTCTTTGCTCCACGAGATTAGTTTGTTTTTTTCCCCCAGTGCCTGTGTCCTGAATTGAGTTTGTGAAAGTACCCACACTTTTACTTTCAGGTCCGAAACTCTTCAAAGAACCAAGCTTCAAGTCCAATAAATTCATCATTCACAACGCTCTCTCGCGCTGTTGTCTTGCCGGGAAGGTCAACGAGACGCAGAAAAACAAAATCGTTGAGGTAGAGTTTCACCTTTTGCTTTATGATCAGCCGCTTTCCTGAGTCCAACCCAAATGATCCTTTCTTTGTCTCCTTCATGGTGCTAAAAACTCAGGAGATGGAGAAGAGCCCAGCCAACCACTTCCTCATTCTCTTCCGCGACTCCAGCTGTCAATTCAGAGGCGTCTACACTATGAGCGCCGACTCCCAGGAGCTGGTACGGCTGGCCGGTGTGGGCCCACGGACAGTTAGCGCCACTCAGGTGGAGTCCATCTACAAATACAGCTCAGACAGAAAGCAGTTTAGCGCCATCCCCTCCAAAACCATGGGCATGAGTGTCGATGCCTTCACTGTCCCCAGTCATCTTTGGCAAGGAGGAGGAGGAGGAGGAGGAGGAGGGAGCAGGAGAGCGAGCATTGTTAGTAAGAAGGTGACCGCTTCCAAGTGATAGCCAGAAAGCAACATCACACTAGTTCATCATCAAACAAAACACTATAATTACAATGTAATTACAGTGAAAGTAGTCAAACAGAGTAGTGCTCTGTTTAATGTGCACACCCATGGGTCCACATGAGTGCACGTAATCCACTTAGCTTCTCTTGTCTGCAGATCTTTCTTAGAAAATGTAAGAGATCATGTCTACTCCCCCTTTATGTCCAAGAAAAGGTCAACTGCACAACTTTGAGAGTAGCCTCATACAAAGGTTTTTTTTTGGGGGGGGGAGGGGGCGGTTGTTAATTACACAGAGGGGTACCTCACACGGATTATATACTTTAATTGTTTGAAGTACAAGTTGAAACTTTTCTTTTAAAGAAACTACAACACCAATCAGTTGTGCATTGGAAACAAAAAAACAAAAAAAAGCGGCATTCACAGACTGCCCAGTTCGCCTCCCTCTTTGGTCCTTCAGCTGAACCGCTGTTTTATACTAGAAGCCAAACAAGTGAGAAATTGCCTTTGTTTATTTTCTACCAACAAATGTAAGTATGTGGATGAAAGCACATTGGTTTTGCGAAATGAGACATAGCCATAAATACATGAAGTATGTATCCTTTTGTCAGGCATTTCAAAGGTTTTGCTTTTTGAATTAGCATATTTGTGATTGATTGATTGATCGATCGATCAGTTGACTGTTTACTGTGTGTGATATAAGCTCATTTAAAACAGTATCACAGTGAAAACGTGTAGTTTGAATTATATGATGGTATGTGGGCATTGGATGCTAATTTAATTGAATACCTTTTGTACAATGACATCCAAGCAACAAGCGAATGACGTGCGACAACATGCTTAAAATGAAACACCACTGGACTGTCACGCTGCTGAGTAGGAATGGGTGCCGATAGCTTCTTCCATTTCTGTAATGTCTTAAAAGTCTACTGCAACTGAATCCCCAAATTCTGGTGACTTTCGCTGAGGAAATGCGTGGCGTTCGGTGGTCCAACACGAGCTAACTCAGGGAAATGGTTGTGAACTACACTGCATAAAAGAACAGCATAGAAAAATACTTAAATGATAGATTTAAGTAAATGTCAAGTGTCAGTTACTGATATGTTTGATTTGTTTGCTTAGAGGCACTTGGGCTTCCTGCTCTCTTATGGAAAGAGAATTTTTGATCAAGAGGTTTCAGGAGTGAACGCGTGCAACAATTAAACATCAAACTAAGGAAAGCTCAGATTTTCTTCACAAACCGTCTTAAAAGGCTGAATTAGAGATTCTGCAGAATTAAAAAAAGCCGACTTCAGATTTGCCTGAATGCTATTTTAGCCCATTCCCACTTTTGATCAAGTGCAGGTTCCTAAAAGGTGTGTCTCAGACCAGTGTATATGTATGGAATGACAAACTGGATTAAACTTAAATGATCTGATCAGGCTTCTTCTTGTTTTTCTGTGTAATGTTTTTGGCAAAATAACTTGAACACCAGAAACACACCGACAATGTTTTATTATTTTATTGCAACTTCTTCAGAACATTTAGAACATAGCTCTGAAATGCACTTTGCAGACTGTGTGCACTACTATACGTGTTATTGCATTGCTGTGAGCAGGCGGTATTCTTTGGGATCATCGGTGCAGTCCTACTAAAAGTACGTAACAGTATTACAGAGCACTTCCTGTTCTGTTAGGAAATGCTGATTGCTCGTCTTACAGAATTAAAGAAGATGTCGGGACAGATTCAACACTAGAGAGAAAAAGACTTTCTGCACATTAACTACAGTAAATGTAAATTGGGATAGTTCATTTCTGATTAGTCCCATCTTGGTGAACAGTCAAGTGTTTTTTTAATCAAATACATGTTTCTTAGGGCCTGAATTTTCTTTTTTATCAAATAATACAGTCTTTAATTTCAGTCTTTCATAAAACTTTTTCTTCATCTCGATTTACAAATCATCTGAAATAATGTGCATTGTGTTCCCCTTGACCTCCCACACCATCAGTATCCTTTAAGAACATCGGATCCAGCTAAAGTCCTGATGTTCTCGTCACGGTGTTGTGCTCTAGTACCTCTCGAGGTCAAAAGCTTGATCTTTTTCCAAAAGAAAACAATGACTTTGGACATTCAGAGGGTTAGGGTTAGCAGTGTTAAGTTGTAGAGTTTTAACAGATTTACTGTTTTTACATGATGGACTATGTGAATCCCACTCAAAATGGTGAAAACATACTGATGCTTAGGTTGGTCATTTTATGAATGCCCCGAAAAACATTTTGGATTACAACATTTACAAGAAAAATCAGCATTTTCTGGTACTAATAATACACCTAAGTTTAAAAGCAGACTTGTTCGGATTAATAAAATAACAAATGAGCTAATTACAAATGAAACCTTCACAGAAGATCTAGCAACTATTCAATGTTCTTCTTGTTCAGAGCCCTTGTCTGAGAATCCAAATCGATTTATGATTTACAACGAAGTAGATTATGACTGTATGTTTGATTGTGGCTTTTAAGTCTTTGTTGTGAATTAGGGCTATATAGAAACAATACCATTGATTTTTGTCGGTCCAATCAATAAGTTACAAAAAACTGCTGGGGGTATTACATGTTTCTGGATTAGCTGGAAAAAACATCTGAATGTATATTTGCTAAAACATACAGCCAGTGCTTAGCAAGCACTTTTGAGCACAGATACACAGAATAAGCCTGAACTACAGTTAAATTACAAATGAAATCTTCCCAAATGACAATTTGGGAAAATTTACTATTAGAAGGAATGCTCAGTGTTTCACCCAAGATCCCAATGAGCACACAGGTTAAACTGATTATGATTATGACAGTAACTGATGAAGCTCAGAGGAGGTTAAGGCTGGACACAACGTTTCCAGAGCGGCTAACTACGGAATCAGAGTCCACACTAAGATAGCTGAGTTTCTATTATCACGGCCTACTCTGGCCGGCGTTATGTTTATCGGTCACATGTAGATTTCCAGTTTTTGGCTAAACTGCTGTTAAAAACACATGTTCTTTCCCACTGTGCTAGCTTCATTAATCAACAGGACAACATTTGAACACTGACTGGTAAACTAACACAGACGTTACTTAATTCTATGATGCAGCTGTTGGATAACCACCAGCTGGGGTTGGTTGGGTGGGGGGGGGGTGCAAGTGCAAAGCTGGGAGCGAACACACGCGACATTAAGTTCCATAAAGAGTCGATGACGTACACACAAACAGAGAGACGGGACGGAAAGAGCAGGATGTGTGTCCAGTGCCTCTGGGGTTGGATCTGGGTTTGGGTTTCAGGTCGGTGGAGGCTGGAGTGGTACCGGGGGGGGTTGCTAGTGGCCGCTGTCCGGCTGGGCGCTGTCCGGCTGGGCGCTGTCCGGCTGGGTGCTGTCCGGCTGGGCCGTGGTGGTGGGCTCGGCCCCTGCGTCCACTGACGTGGCGTTCCCCTGGCCGGCGGCGGGCTGCGGCTGGACTGACGGGCTGACGGGGGCGGGGCTGGAGGAGCCGGCGGCCAGATCCTGCGAGCTAACGGCGGAGGGGGAGGGGGAGGGCCGGCCGGACGTGGCGTCGGCGGGCAGCTCGGACGGCAGGCCGGCCGGAGCTTTGGAGGGCTGGACGGTGGCCGGGTCAGAGGCCTGGTCAGAGGCCGGCTGGGACGAGGAGTTGGAGGACGCGTCGGTGGACGCGTTGGAGAGGGCCGGCGAGGGCCCGTCGGAGAGCATCTGCGCCAGGGGCCCGGACGGGGGGTCAGCGGGCAGACTGGACGGAGTGGGCTGAGGGGTGTGAGCCGGGGTGGGCTCCCGGGGGTCCGTGCACACGGGCTGCCCTTCGGCCACGTACCAAACCTCGTTGTGCCTGTTCAGCAGCTTCAAGGGACTACACGCACACACACACACACACACACACACACACACACACACACAAAGAGCAATGCACACACAGGTTAGGTGGATTTAAGGTGAATACCTGATTTACCATGACTGGTTTTCTTCAAGTAAATCAATTCTCTAAAGTAAAGGCTTCTAAGAGTTTTAACAACAGATACAGATCTGCATCAATCTACTATAACAATAACACTGATCGTACCTGTTGTTTAGATAGATAGATAGATAGATAGATAGATAGATAGATAGATAGATAGATAGATAGATAGATAGATAGATAGATAGATAGATAGATAGATAGATAGATAGATAGATAGATAGATA